TTGCCATGTTGGAGTTTCTAGTTTAACTCCACCAACTTTACTGTTTTGCTTTTGTTGGAGGAAAATTAAGCATTTAGATCAACCGACTAATCAGTAAAATAGTCAATAGATGAATCAGTGGGAAAACAGTGATAAGTGGCAGCCACAGGAGTGATTTCTACAAATGCACAGTTTTATACACAGCTTTCTGATCTGTGGTGTTAAATCTGAAATGTTTATTCACAATACTTCCCAGGTGGTTTGGCTGCATGTATTCGGCAAAGCTTCATATTTTCATTTTTAGTTGGCAAAGAGAGCAGCATCCTAGTTTACTGAGCACACAACTCAATGACCTAAAGTGCATTCAGTCTGTTTTGCACATTGAGAGCTCTGAATTTAACAGATCACTACAGATAAATAATTTAATATTCGAATGGTTTTTAAAATTAGACTTGGAAAAATTGGGTTGAATGTGATGTCTGTGATTTTTAAACATCGGCTATAATAAATATTTTCATTTGTACCTATTTGTGCATTCGATCGCTAGTATCTCATACCTTCATTTGTTGTCACTCATTACCTTTTAGACAGAATGCCACTTAAAAGCAGCTCTACGAATGATCCGGGCTTCACTGTGTCTTTGGGAGTTCCATCTTCGGTCCATATGGCCGGCACCACTGTGTGGGAGGCCATTTCTGCTGTAGCTGAACGGAACATTACTGCAATAATTAATCTGAAGATGGGCTTTTACATTTGCGTGATCATATTGCTTTTTTTTCCCACAATGAGAGTAGAAGATTTAGTATGCATGGACTCCATCTAATGCATTCAGTTGTGTGGGTCCCTTTCTCATTGTTGACTATCCCCTCGATTAACCAGTGAGAGTAATATCCAATAGGACGTGACGGCCTAATTAGCCGTGTCCTGGGGTTGTATTAGCTCACACTCTCTGCATAGCTCAGCTGGATAAAATCTGACACACTGCTTTTCTAGAGTCCCTTACTCTCCCTGTGTCATAAGACATGCTTTCTGTAATGCAGAGCAGAGATATAAGTGGACTGAATCCAGCCGTGAGCCTGTTAGATTCACCTTCTGATGAATTTAACCCCCTGCTTACATGTCAATCTCTGCATTAATGTGCGCCGAACTCTACGCGGCAGTTCATGAATAATTAAGATGTCAAGATCCACTGAGACTCTTACCTGACAGCAGCACACTGCTCCACCTCCACTTCCAACTCAGGCTGCTGACTGGAGTTACTGTCACCCTGAGGATACCTTAATTCAACCAGCTCATTGGGAAAATGGCTACTTCTGCAAGTCATATAGTCCAGAACTGAGAATTAAAGTCAAGTATAGTCATCCTGTTTTATAGTCAAAAAGAACATAAAGGGTTTTTTTTGTTTAGATATATTTGTAATAATTTTATTAAAGGTCTCAGAAATGTCAGAAATGCAGTTTTTGTCACAGCTAACTAGAGGGATCTGTCATTATCCGTGATTGGTTGACAGCAGGTTGCAGCCTGCCAGAATCAGAGAACAGATGAACGTGCACCAAAGTGACATTTGCAGGAACATTTACATGCTGTTTAATGTGCTGCTACTGAGCTACTTTTAACTATCTGATGTTAGCAGTGCACTTTTCCCTGCTGTAGATTTGTTCCCGTACTTGCAGGTGTAAGATGTGTGCACCTGCTTGTAGTCTGAATAAGAATTAGGGGCCGTGTGTCACCTCAGCAGTCCCGACACTGTGTTCTATGACGCGGTACTTCTCAGTTCAGGTCTTTTAGGGTAAATCAACACTTTTGCTTCTGAACTGCAGTTCTTCCAAAGTGTTCTTGGGATATCATGGGTGCGTAAGGTGATGACATCATTGCTTGGGGTAAAATCTGCTTTTAAATTTAGTGCCATGCAAAAGAACTACAGACATGGCCGCTTCTCAGAATATGTCCCGTTGTTGGTTTAAACTGTCACTTTTATAATACAACCTGCTTATTTCACTCATTTTATGCACATGAAAAATTTAGTGCATTTCAATACAACCATAGAATTCTACTCTGAGGAAGCTTCTACAGCTTCTGTTACGTAGTGAGAAAGGTGGTGTTTCTACTTTATTGTTGGGGTTGTAAAAGGAGCCATACTAGCCGTGGAAGCAGAATTGAGATTTAACTGAATCAGAAAGGTTATATATAAAATCATAAATGCACACTGTAGTTATCCCACTTATGATAGTAAACCAAGCACACAACAGGCATCGATGGATGTGTGCTGTCAACAGTGGCACCAGATGTCATTGGGATGAGAGGCAGAAAACAAGGAGGAAGATGGTCAGTTTGGCATTATTTACCTACAACATTATCCTTGAATCCCAGTTGATTATGAGAATTTGTAAAACTACCCATTGGTCATGACAGAGGCTTCCCCATACCATCATTTTTAGGAAATCTATACAAGGAGGCTGAGCTGCGTTTTGCAAATTCTGGTATCCATGGAAGATGCGTTTGCATGCTAGCAGACTGTTAACTGTAGTAAGTACAGTAACTCAGTCTAGCAGGAGAACCTCTGATGTTATTGCACTCTAGTTTTTAATAGTCTTAGGAGAAGGGGTCATGCAAAGTGTGGCTCCAGTGCTTTAGCAACTAAACATTTTTCACCCAACCAAAAATCCTGAACAAAAAATGCTGGAAAACAGTTAAAAAGCTTAATTCCACAGTCTAGTCAGTCAATTATTTGCAGACATGTATAATGTGTAAAGAAATCAAATGATCAGATTTACTGCACATGGACTTTAAATTCTGTTTTTTCACCAGACAAAGATCCTCTAATGAGAGGTTAGACACCTGCCCAGTTGTGAAAATACTTTGGAACTTGCAAAAAACTGCAGAAATCACATGTAGGATGAGCTGGTGTTTGGCTCGCAGTGACCATATACGTTATTTATGACAGAATTCAGGCTTCTACTAGTATTCACTAATTTATTGCAAAACTACAGGACGCCAGCATGAAGGTAAAAAATACAACGTCGCCTCTTTCTGTTTCTAAGTCTTTTCTCAAAGGAAAACACAGGATGATTAATTACAAAGCAAATGTAAGCTGGGCTTTGAAGTTTAGTCAGTCGAAATACAAAAAAATGTGCCAGTTAATTTATGATTGTGGCAGTGGAGAAGAAATCTCGCAGACATTTTAAGGTGAAATATTATGTGGCATCAATGTATACTGTATAAAAGAGACATTAGTCAAGAACGGTGTGTGTATAGGAGCGTCTTAATGCCAGCGGTGCAGTAAAATATGATAAATCTGCTGATAAATCAAAGCCTGCTAATGCACATGCGACACAACTTTGTGCAAGACAGGGGGACATAAAAGGGAAAAACAAACACATAATTCCCCGCTCCCCATGGCGCGCTTTACAAGAGCCCATTAATGCCAACATGATTTTGTGCGCTTGTAACGGCTGTACGCATCAATCCGCATCCCTTTTGCTGCGCGCTACACAACAGCAGCAGCAGCAGCAGCTAGCGCTGATCGGTCTGCACTCATGTGTAACTTGATCCATATGACACACTGACAGGGACGGTTCTGCGTTTGTGCACGCATGTGCCAATCTGTGCGGCTCTATCTGCAGCAGAGTTGTGATCGTTCCAGCCGAGCGCACTCACATGCCATATGTTTACAGGCAGGCACGTGGTCAGGCGGGGGCATCTCGGCGGGGCACATGGGATGTTTGAGTGGATTTTTTGTCGGGAGGGCAATGCAATGTGAAGTCAGCTTGTGCCGCATAACTCTACAAAGTCTCTGGAATAGAAGGCCCAGCTGATGGGTTTTGTCAGCAGATACACTGAGAAGCTTTCTTCTAGTGACTGCTACACGAATGTAAATGCTGAGCAACTGTGTCTCACTGGGTTCTTTATCACGAGAGAAGGTAAATAACAGCAGAGAACAGACAAGTGCAGAATGCTCGAGTGGTTTAAGGATGGGAATCGAGTTTGTTTGGACATCTCCTCCTGCCAAAGTCTTCACGTTGGCAGAATGATTTGCTGTCTGACAGACGATCCGCTTGCACTGCCTTACTTAAGATTCTTCACTTTGGATAATGAGCCTTAAGAATGTCGGTTCACGTCACTGAAAAATGCAGTAAAATAAGCTTTCCATTGTAGCTGGGCTAAATATTTATACATGTTTAACTATAGTTCTTTTTTAAAGGCTAATCCTGTATACGCTCACTGTATTAGGTACACCTGTTTAACTGCTCACTGACGTAAATATTGATTCATCCAAACACATGGCAACAACTCGATGCATTTAGGCATGTAGGCATAGTCAAGATGACCTGCAGAAGTTCAAACCGAGCATGAGAATGGGGAAGAAAGGTGATTTAAATGACTCTGAATGTGGTATGGTTGTTGGTGCCAGACGGGCAAGTCTGACGACTTCAGAAACTGCTGATTTACTGGGATTTTCACGTACAAGCGTCTCTAGGGTTTAAAGAGAATGGTCCAAAATAGAGAGAACATCCAGTGAGCGACAGTTGTCTGGGAGAAAATTCCTTGTGGACGCCAGAGGTCAGAGGAGAATGGTCAGGGGGATTCAAGATGAGAGAAAGGCAGCAGTAGCTAGATTGGAAAAACGTTGCCGGATCTGATGAGTCTCAATTTCTGCTGCGACATTCAGATGGTAGGGTCAGAACTTGGCGTAAACAACATGAATGCATAGATCCATCCTGTTTTGTATCAGTGATACTGGTGGATGATATTTTCTTGGCACACTTTGGGACCCCTTAGTACCAACAGATCACCGCTTAAACTCAACAGAGAATTGTTAGTGGATAGTAGTGGTAGTAGTTGAGTACTGTTGCGGCTCATGTCCATCCCTTTACAACCACGGTGACCCATCTTTTGATGGCTCCTAAGTTTTAAATTGGATTCTTGAACATGTTCTTTAATAACTTTCGCTAGATCTCAACTGAATATAGAGCATGTTTGGGATGTGGTGGAATGATGTTTTCTCCTCCTCCTCTGTCTAGTGTGGATTCAGACGTCTTCACCCTGTTGACCGCCCTGACTCTGCCGTTGGACCTGGGGAAAAGGTTTTCATCGTGACACCGACACGCCCGAACATGGACAGGAACAGGAAGTGGGTGCCAGGCTTCGAAGCTGTGCTATTGATACTCCTGAGTCACACGACTGTAGCGCTCGAAGTGCCTCTTGATCGTAAGTATTCGTCAGTGTTACATTTACAGGCACTGTGAATCCAGGACATGATGGTTTACTTGTGTGAATTGAGGAAATGTTTCATGCTGACGTAGCTCTTTCCCACTTTGGGGTACAATGAACCTGAAACTGCAGTAACTGACTGTACTGGGAAGACTGGGGGTTTCTTTCTTTCAGCTCTGCATGTTTTAGCATGTGGTTTTCATAGAATGTAATTATATTTTGAAGGAACTCTTTAGTTATCCCACATCATGAGTGAAATTTGAAAATCTTCAACTACTTTTCTTGCATTTGTTGCACCTGCATCACAAAACACCGAAAAACGTGATAAAGCTGATAGAGCAGGTTCAATAAAATGCTTTAAAGTACCTGAATGTACAACTGTTTCACCTGTTGTTTACTCCTTTGCAAAAACTAACACCTTTTCCTCAATATTCTATTACTGTGGTTCGGCATGTCATGTTGGACAAAAAGCTAAAGTACTGGACGGATGTAAGTTGGCCCAAAGTGTGGAGTTTTTGCTCTTGAAAATTCTCTTTTGTGTGGTTTTAAGCAGCAATGTGCATGCAGTTATTTCAGCACTGTAATTGTGTGAAAAGACCTGCTTGGCTTAGTAGATGTCGGGATGGTAAGTGGAGTCGAGAAAGCTGCTGTGTCTTTGTTTGCAGTGAGTGTTTCGGCTCCGCATGACTTAAAAGTTTGGCTTAATGTAAATGCTTGTTGCATGTTGCCTGCGTATCCTCTGTTTGCAAAGTCTTATCCAGTGTGTCAAGTTTGTCAGTGTGTGTGAGCTATGCCTCTGTTTCTCCAGTGCCCCAGCCCCCGACTATAACACTGCAGTCTCCGAAAGATTACATCTTTGATCCGCGGGAGAACATCGTCATCCACTGTGAGGCCAAGGGGAAGCCTCAACCCAGGTGAGAGAACTACTCCGAAACGCCTAATAAATGATTTACAATCAGCGTGTTATGGTTCAATTATAGCTCTGCTTCTGGGGGCGACTTAACCTGGAGCAGAGCGGAAATATGAGTCACCCTGGCAACTGTTGTCTTGGAGACTCGGGAGCTTGAGAAACACACCTGGAAGAGTACATTTACCACCAGGATCTGAATGAAATGAGAATTGGCCAAACTCCCAGTGAAGTCTAAATGTTATGTATATTTAATGTATATTTAGATGATTTAACCCTCATACGTCCAGGAGAACATTTTGTCCTCTTCATTTTTGATGTTTATCTCATTTTGCTGTGCATTTGGCATTAAATGTGGGAAAAGTGCACATTTTGGGGGGAATTTTGACCTCCTTTTAACAACCATAATACATTAGAAATACACTGTGTATGCAAAATTGTCCTTCTTTAAGCAAAAATGTCCCCATTGGAACCCATTATAACTGCTGTTTTTGATCCCTCTGCCATCATATCATGAAATCATGCATTCTGTTATTAGGCTTTTTTTTTTTTTTTGACAAAACTGGCATTTAAAGGGTTAAAATGAATGTTTGGAAACTATGATTAGGACTGATGTTGATCAAAAGATAAGTCATTGAAAGCAAAAACTATGAATATATTCTGTTTTTCTGGCATTGTTTTTGACATTTTTGTCTTCAAGGACCTCAGTGTAAATTTTTTAAAATTGGCGCTTCAGGATCAAACAAATGGGTTAAACTGCATCCTTTACCGTTTTGTTATTTATCACTTGGAAAATAAATCTGTTGCTCTTGTCGATTCCAGCTTTTCATGGACGAGAAATGGGAGCCACTTTGATGTAGAGAAAGACTCCAAAGTCCTAATGAAGCCCGGTTCAGGAACTCTGGTCATCGACATCAGCCAGGAGAAGGCTGAAGCCTACGAGGGAACGTACCAGTGTACAGCTCACAATGAGCACGGCACCGCTGTGTCCAACAACATCGTCATCCGACAGTCCAGTAAGACATTTAACTCTGATCTATTCCATTATATCCAAATGTAGGTTAAAATACATTGTAGGGGCTCCGATTGCTACTTAGTACAGTAAAAATATGAATGATATTATCCTCTCAGCGTGTTTTATGTGGCGTTTGCGACTCACAGGGTCCCCCTTATGGTCGAAGGAGAGAAATGAGGCCATCGTGGTGCAGATGGGGGTCTCCCTGGTGCTGCATTGCCGACCCCCTGCTGGGTTACCTCCTCCTGTCATCTTCTGGATGGATAACAGTGAGTCATGTGCATGTATACGTAGCTGCACGCATGCAAGGACATAAGAAAGTCACAAACAGCTGCAGTCAGTCACTACATGCATTAGTGAACCCTTTTCATCCATTTATTAAAAGAACCGCTGAAATTATGCATCGACCCTGTGGAAAAGTAAAAGTCTTTTTCTTGTAAGACCGAATCAAACGAGCTATTTACGCTGATCGATTATTCCCTGTGTTTCAGATTTCCAGCGGCTGCCCTTGGATAAACGAGTGTCCCAGGTCCTGAATGGAGACTTGTACTTTTCCAATGTTCTCCCAGAAGACACCAGGAGCGACTACATTTGCTACGCTCGCTTCCCGCATACGCAGACCATCCAGCAGAAACAGCCCATCTCAGTCAATGTGCTGGACAGTAAGTGGAGACACAGAAGGAGAAATAAGCAACTGATGTCACCGAATAGAAACTCAAACAGTCCATTTATCTCACTGTTTTTATTATCCAGTCACTTAGTTCACATTTAGAGATGCTTTCTCCATGTTGTAGATGATGTTTTACTCCTCAGTTTTATTTCCTTATGATGCTCTTGCAAAACTGTCAGAGCTGTAGATGAATTTTAGTTGCTAATCTTCCTGTATTCTACCTTTTCCTGGGCTTTGATTTGATTTTGCAATGGCCATAGTTCACTATCACAATGATGGAACTGCACAGTAGGGCTGCAACGAATTGTTGTTTTCATTGTTGATTGTTTGTTTATTGTTTAATGAATTTGGTCTATAAAACGTCAGATGAAGTCCTCAAATTAAGAGTCTGAAATTTAAAGAATTTTGATTGTTATTCTTGAAAAATTTCTCAAACAGATGAATCAATTATCAGAATCAGTTGACTGCTAATTGATTAATCATTGCAGCTCTACTGCACAGTACATAAGAGTGCCCGCAATCTGTCAACATCAGTCTGTGATTTAAATGCATTTTCTCGAGCTAATGCATCGGTTAATGCACAGTGGAAAGGTCATTCTAACGAAAAACGTTTATTTCCTAGTTTTGCATGCTTATGGTTTTCTGTTATATTACAGTGGAAACAATGAATGCGACTGTGGCTGCTTTATACAATTTCACTGATTTCTATAGTGGTGAGTGATGCTGGCTTATTCCCCATTCAGCCCCTCCAGTGTGAACCCAGCCCTGATTTTACTCCCCGACATAATCATGTCCGACATACGCCTTTAACTTAATCCTCTCCTCTAATTATATTAATATCTTCCCGAGGTTTCTCCCGTTTCATCCATATGCACGTCGAAGGTCTCGGGATAAACGGTGCCAAACAAACCCACAATTTTGATCAATATAAACGCAATAATGCATGATGCAGTATTTAGTACATGGCAAAAATCAACCGTTAACTGTGGCTGATATATAACAGCCTAATGTGGTCGAAGAAGCCTCAAAGCGTCTATGACATTAAATATCAGCTAACTGCAACTCACTTGGAATGATAAAACTTGATATCATTCTCCACAATGGCCTCGAATGAATACGCCTCATTATCCTAATAGGGTGTTACTCGTCTTCCACCTTGTGAAATGTTATTTTCTGACCTTTTCGGCGAAGTAATAAGGAAACCTAAATGGTTTCGTGAGGAACTTCTGAAGGATGTGCTGCACGTATGAGTGCGGCTGGCGGGCGGGGGGGTGTTCTCTGCAAAGAGCCCCAGTGTTGCCATAGCAACAAACAGACGGGTATCTCACTCAGGGAGATTCTTCGTGCTCCCTCGTTCTCTAAGATAATTCTCATACTGTGTGTAAAAAAAGAAAAAAAAAAAGACTTCCTTTAGCGTTGTGCTGGCTCATCACTCATTCATTTCCTGTCCCTTCTCTCACTTCAGCAAAACACTTCATCAGCAGTGTATAGTTGTGAACAAACGTTTAAAAATACATCTGTAAAGAGCATGTATAGAGGCAGTCTTTGAGTTTCTGTTGACTCCCGTAACTCTGAATTTTCATAATAGAATCTTTGCCACAGATGCATCATTGTCACTGTAGGTCTTCCAGAAATATGGCAAAATCTGCTGGACCAAAAGTATTCATACAGCAATTTGATTAAATGTCCCTTCACCTCAATGTGGTGCTTTTGTCGTCATCCACAAGCTTCTGGTTGTATCTTTGACCTCCTCTTGACAGAATAGATGTAGCTCAACTAAATGTATTGACTTTGACACAGTCCGGAGTCAGGGCTTTGGGGAGACCAGTCTAAAACCGTATTCCTAGCCTGATTTAGATATTTCTTTGCCACTTTTGATGTGTGTTTGGTTTCACTGTCTTGTTGCAACATCCAACTTTGTCCCAGACCCAAACTTGTGGTGAATGATTTGAGGTTTTTCTGAAGAATGTGGAGGTAAACCTCCTCTTCATTATTTCATTTACTTTGTGTAAAGCACCAGGTTAACTGGCACTTAAACAGCCTCAGAGAATAATACTGCCACCTCCATGCTTGAGGAAGTCAGTAGGTAGGTTTGGTGTTTTTGGACTTAAGGCCTCTACCTTCAAAATATGTCCCGTCATTATGGCCAAATGGCTCAATTTTTGTTTCATCTGACAACAGAAATTTCCTCCAAGGGACCTTTTTTTTGTCAGTGTGATCAACAGCAAACTTCAGCCTTTGGGGATAAGAACGGCTTCCTTCTTACAGCCTCTCAGCCCATGGTGATGTAAAACAGACTTGACTGACACTGACACCAGTGTACCAGCAGGTTCTAAGTCACTTCTGACCTGCCTTTTGCTGATTCCTGGTTGACTCCTGACCATCCTGACCAGTTGTCTCACATCAGGAGGTGGTGATAGTTTGCGTTTTCTTCCCGACTATGGCAGTGACACAACAGTGCCATTGTTTTCACAGATTTGTGGATCAATAGCTGCTTTTAAATTGCTCCAAATGACGATCCCGACTTGTTCAAATCAATGATTTGCTTTTTCATATCTGTGCTGAGCTCCTCAGACTTTATTAGACCTATTATAAATCTACAAAAGAACCAAAATGCATCATTGCTTTTTGTGACAAAGACATGTTTCAATGACTCCATCATAGAAAATGAAGAGTTACTGGAGTTATTGGAAACTCAAGACTGCCATGCATGGTCTTTACATCAGCATGTGAACTTTTGTTCACAATTGTATATTTGACTGTACTGTACCTTTGTCCTTCACTAGAATGTAAATACCCCCCTGAGGTTACAGTTTCCCTTCCTAATATGCTCTTTTGTGAACTTTGTGGGAGCAACATCCGTCAGGTCCAATGTTTTGGTCTGGTGCTGATTTGTGTCTTCGTGTCTTCAGACAGCCCAGAGGGGGAGCGTCGCCCTGGTTTTATGCTGCCTCTTGGCACCACCAGCACCAAGATGGTTCTGAAAGGAGAGACTCTGGAGCTAGAATGCGTCGCTGAGGGCTTGTAAGTTGGCACGAGCTGCAACTAGCTTCATGATTTGTCTCATTTTAAAGGTCTGTGTTTACTCTATTAAATGTTACAAAAACAAGAAACAATGGCTCGAAACTCAAACAATGGTTTCTTTGGTAGGCCCACTCCGGATATCTCTTGGCAGAAGGATGGAGGAGAGTTGCCAAGCAGCAGAACGTCTTTCCACAACTTCAAGAAAACGCTGAAGATTTCCGACGTGATTGAAGAGGACGGTGGCGATTACCGCTGCACGGCCACAAACAACCTGGGAACCGCGCACCACATCATCAAGGTCAATGTCAAAGGTAGTGTCAGTTTTGTTATTATAAGTAAATAAGCCTACAAACCATGTATCACTTGAACTGGGCTGTTTTGGTTTCTTAGACCTTCAACCACAATTTGTAAATCTGTTCTTTGGGAATTATGTCTTGTGAAAAGTCATTTGGCTGACAAAATACCCAAAAATGTTAAAAATGGCAATCACAATTTCCAAACAGTCCAAATTCCAAAGATATTGGGTTCACTGTCACATAAAAGCCAAGACAAAATTATCAAAATCGTTTCTTTTTCTGTTGGTTGACTTTTTGTTCCAAAACTAAGGGAAAATAAAGAAATTACATGTGAAAGTTAAAATATTTCACAGGCCAGCTTAACTGACGCATTTTCATTTTCTCATGCAACCATTCCTTCACCTATAGTTGTATTTATTTTTTTGGTAATTTTCATCTCAGAAATCTCTTTATTCTTGTTCACGATCCTCAGCTGCTCCTTTCTGGGTCAGCGCTCCCAGGAACCTGATCCTCGCTCCGAATGAAACCGGCATCTTGACATGTCGAGTCAGTGGAGTACCCAAACCAAAGATCAGCTGGTTTGTCAATGGAGTTCCCATAGAGAGTGAGTACAATGAGACCAATGTTTTCAACAACTGAATGTACATGTATGCATACTTCTAAATGAAGAACGCAAACACTGTTTCCCAACTGGGCTGAACTGCTGATTCCAGTATTGTTGAACTACAGGAGAGTGATATGTGGAGATTATTTTTTACAGTGTATTCTGTTGTTGATACTGTTCTAGATGCTCCAGAGGACCACAGTCGCAAAGTGGACGACGACACTGTGATTCTCAGCAACGTTCCATCAGGGTCCAGCGCTGTCTACCAATGTAACGCGTCCAATGAGTTTGGCTACCTGATGGCTAACGCTTTTGTCAGCGTTCTTGGTGAGTTAAAGCGGATTCTTATTGTAGGAAATTAATAGCTAACCAAGCATCAGTTCAAGGTTTTATTTTATTCTAAAAATCTAGCAGCACAATTGGGAAATATAGGCCTGTGTGTGATGGGGGAAATACACCAAGTGGTAATTTAAATGTTTGTTTTTTTGCCCAACAGCTGAACCTCCAAGGGTTCTCACGCCACCCAACAGAGTGTACCAGGTCATCAGCAACAACCCTGCATTACTTCACTGTGCCTCCTTTGGCTCACCAATACCAACCATCACATGGTAACACCTCACGCTGCATTTTAAATTAAAATGTTAAATTCTTTCCGAGCTTAAAGAATTACACTAAAACTGTCTTGTTATTTGTATGCAGGTTCAAAGACAGTCAGATCAGCATTAAGGATGGTGATCCATATGTGATCCATGAGAACGGTACACTGGAAATCAATGTGGCCCAACCACTGAATAGCGGAAAGTACACCTGCATTGCCACCAACAACCTGGGGATCAAGGAGAACCACGTCTACCTGGAGGTTAAAGGTTAGTATGGGCTAATCACAATTACAACTATACTGAAGTGGGTTAACTCTTATTCCTGAGCCACACACCCCAACCCACCAGTACATGGTCGTCACAGAATCTTTTCAGACTGCTTTGGCCTGTCATCCAAAGATTTAACTGTTGCTTTTTTTTCTTTTTTTTTTTTCTGCCTGATGCATGTGGTCCTCAGCAAAACTAGACAATAAAAAGTTTTGCTGATCTGCCAGCATCATTACAAAAATGGCACCTTTCACTACAAGCTCATTGTTGAGGATATATCTGAACTTTGTGAACCCCAGAACCCGCCAGTCGGTTTGAAAGGCATGTTATTGCAACCAAAATATAAAGTAAAAAAAAAAAACAATAGACAAAATGAGACTTAAAATGCCTGGATTTTTCAAACATTCTTATTTAGTAAATCATGTAAATCATTTTATTTTACATGTTTTATTTTAAAATTTGCCCAAGGAAACCATTTTTATGAACTAAATTCGGTAAAATAAAGATCCAGGAACTGAAAACCCGACAAACTCAGACTATTCAGCTGAACTGCAGACTGTGTATACACAAAGGCAACAAATAAAAATGTAAGTTGTAAAATATCTATAGTATGTGGAGTCATTTTTCCAGTATTATTACCTGTGGACACAAATAAATAAAGAAATTCTACTTTTTTTTTCACGTGTTTTCAGCTATTATGCCATCAAGCTGTATTTTTTCTCATTATCAGCTCTTCTTTTCTGTCTTGCAGAGCCCACTCGTATCCTGAAGCAGCCGGAGTACAAGGTGGTGCAGAGAGGAATGAGCGCCGTGTTCGAGTGTAAAGTCAAACACGACCCTTCTCTCGTTCCCACCATGACCTGGCTCAAAGACAAAGGAGAGCTGCCAGACGATGAGAGGTACCCAAGACCCTGAGATACTTTCAGCCAGATTCCGGTATTAAACCTTCACTCTGATGTGATTTAGTCAAAATCATGTTGCTCGGCTCTGCTCGCAGGTTTGAAGTGGACACCGACAGTCTGCTGATCAAAGACGTGACCGATGAGGATGAAGGCACTTACACCTGCATCATGAACACCACCCTGGATCAGGACTCAGCTAGCGCCATGCTGACCGTTGTTGGTGCGTTCACACCTTAATGCATTAAAAATCTTAGCTTTGTTTCCAGTGTCAAAATTGCACAAAGGGATTCCTGGATCTACTTTTTTATGGATTTATGTGACTGTATTACCAAATCCCTTTCGCTTCTATTGTTCAGATTACAATCCCTGTTCTAAGAGACGTGCTATGAAGCAAGTTTGACATAGCCAAGCTTTCTTTGAATTAGCTGGATCAACAAACGCTAAAACCCCAATCAGATAAGGGGCGGTTATCACTTTTCTTTTTAAACCCAGATTTTCGTCATCAGGCCCTGTACGCAGTCCCATAAAAACTACATCATTTTGGCTCTTTTTACTCACAAAATAGGCCGATAGCCCATGTCGCCTGCTTCAGTCTATTGAAATGGGTTGTTATAATGGAGAGCTATGAGGAATATGAAAATGTATTACGGTGAAAAGCCTCTTACCGCAAAAGATCCGAGAGAGGAATGCTGGTAGAAAACCTTTAGTCTTGCAAGTTAATACATTTAGGTTGGACACTGTTCCATAATGAGTACGTGGAAATCTCTTCAGTTTTTGGCCAAATCAAAGTGAAATTGATGGTATTGCATAAATATTCTGCTATAAATACCAACAGAGTAGTCGATTTTCCAATCTGTGTTCTATTAGCTGCAGCAGCAGTAGTGTAAAATGGACTTGGCAGCAAGTCAGGACTAAACATAGAAACATTAATGAATTTTCTGCATCACCAGCTACATGCATGTAAGATCCTGGGGCAATGTGACGCACGATGAATGTATGGCACAGCAGGCTGGCATATGACGTATTTCCTCAGCTGTGAATCCGTATCTCTGAGAGAATATGGTCAGGAAAAGAACTGATGAAAAAGTGATGCATCTTGCAGCCGACTAAAACTCTGAGCAGAGCCTCCTTCAGAGCTGGTTAGCTATGCAGAATAAGTTACCATGGTGATCTAGCAGGTTCAGTTGTAAAAGTCCAGCTTCAGGTACAACATGCTTTGCTAACCACTTAATCTCCCAAAAAGCCCTCAGCCTTCAGATGTATTCCTATAATCGCTGTGATTGGTTTCTAAAATGTCTGTCACTAACATCTAAACCTCTTCTTGCACTTTACTCTCGCTTCTCGCTATCAGAGGCAACTCCTACGCCGGCAATTGTCTACGGTAAACGAGCCCTGTCCACAGTGTAGCATGTTGTAGCATCCATCGTTTCCATTTTCCTCATTTTTTACGTTGATTCATCGTGTTATGTTACATTTTGTGCCATCTCTTATTTTAGTTTTTGATTAATGCTACAATTTTTAAAAAGTTTCTTTCGCCATTGATCACCAGTGTTTGGAACAAAGCAGCAGTATGGTGCGCCCACACAGGTGTTCCCACTTCACCTGCCTGATTAGAGCTCCTCAGGTAGGATGTGCAGGTGTGGATGGACTGCAATTGATTGACTTCTCCTTCAGCGGTCTAATCCACCAGCAGTGGAAGCACCTGTGTGGGTGTGCAAATGTTTGGTTTTGTGCACAAAATGATGCACCTTTTTAATGCAGCATAAGTTTTCTTCACAAAACACTTTTTGGAAACTTCCTCCAGAGTGTTATTGATTAAAGATATATTATAAAATGAACATTCAGAAGGCGTTTCTTTGTTCAGAAGGGTCATGTAGTGCTTTGTGTTGAAAAATTAAGGTGAATAAAGTTTATAAAATGCAAGCACAGGTTACATTCTCTTAAAGTTCTGGCAATAAGAGCCAAACTTCAGCTCAAAAGCCACCGTATGCATCCAGATAAACTACTTTACGCTTCATTTCCTGCATTCGCCACTTTCTTTAATTAGGGAAAAGTATGTCGGTGTTGAAATTTCTTCTTTAATGGGGGACTTTTAGTTTTTCTGTGGTCCTGAGCTCCTCCATGTGTTCGCAGAGAAACCTGACCAGCCGACTGACCTGGAACTGACTGACCAAACAGAGAGAACCGTTCAGCTCACCTGGACCCCAGGAGATGAACACAACAGTCCCACAGAGAGTACGAAATGCTCAATGTCACCATCTGTTTTATTCAAACTACACTATATTTGTCCATTAAATCAAAACTGACCTCCCACTTTTAGAATTTGCAAAGTTAGAATCCTTAGAAGGTATTTGGGAGCATCAGCTGTGATGTTATCATGACCAGGGAAAAATGTCTTTTGTCATGATTCTTTGAACCCGTGTCCACTGTTGAAGAAGTTCTCAAACTGTGACTCTTTCATCTTCCCCAGAGTTTTTGATCCAGTATGAGGATCTGCTCCATGAGCCGGGAGTTTGGATCAACCTGACCGAAGTTTCTGGTACCAGCACGACGGCTCAGTTGCACCTCTCTCCGTACGTCTACTACGCTTTCAGAGTGCTGGCTCTGAATAGCGTTGGCTACAGCGATCCCAGCCAGCCCTCACGGCAGTACAGGACCAACCCTGCAGGTAACAAACATGGTCGCCTTCCAGAAAACTAATGTACTGTTCCAGTAATCATATTAAAATAGTCCGACTGATTGTACTGCTTTTGTTTTCCCAGCTCCTGATGAAAATCCATCAGGTGTTCATGGAGTAGGACTGGAGCCGGGCAACTTGGTCATCACCTGGACAGTAAGATGGCTTTGATTCTTGTTCGCTGTCAGCTGATTGTAAACCAAATGGTAACGTGGGGATAGAACATACCGATGCTCCAATGCTTTTATAGGACACACACGTTAGTATATGTATAAAAGTAGCGCTTAAAACAACTCATCATTCATTTAAAATGAAGACGTCAAAATGTTTTACTGCTGTTTTTTAGGGAGATAAATAATTCAAATGACTGTCTGTGCAGCCACTGACAGGATTCCAATCCAATGGGCCCGGTCTGGAGTACAAAGTGCAGTGGAGACAGAAGGACGTGGAGGAGAACTGGTCGTCAAAGAACGTGGCCAACGTTTCTCAGTTTATTGTGTCAGGAACCCCGACCTACGTGCCCTACGAGATTAAAGTTCAGGCTCTGAATGACTACGGCAACGGACCTGACCCTGAAGTAGTGACGGGGTACTCTGGAGAAGACTGTGAGTGGGTTTTTATGGAGAATCTGACCAGGTTTTTGTATCATGAATGTGGAAAATTATAAAGGAAGAAGAAGATAAATGCAAACTTTTTGATTCATCAGACAAAGTCATACGTCTGAGCTGATATTCTCTGATATTCAGTAACATTTTGGTGTCTCTCTTTGCTTGCCAGTGCCTTTGTCTGCTCCTGATAGTGTGCGAGTGATGGTTCACAACAGCACACTTGCAGAGGTTCACTGGGAGCCTGTAGCTTTCCCCTCAGTCCGAGGAAAACTACAGGCCTACAAGGTATTCATTGATAAATGTTTTTATATTCAGTTTTCTTGGTTGCTCGAACTAAACTGCTTTGCCTTGAAAGCATTCTGTAAGACTTTATTAAACCCTTGCATGCTTCCTTGTTTTATCTTTTTGCACCTACACACTAAATGTGAACACAAGAACCCAACAAGACTGCACATAACCCCAACAGACTTTTTTACAGAATGAGCAGAAGCACCAGCTATATATACCCAAAACCCTAAACGATTGGTTCACTCAATTATCCAATGGGGAGCTGACACACACACACAATGCCCGCCTCTCAGCACCTCCAGCACAGAAGTAAAAGTTCAAAGCATAAGACATTAACTGTAAATACTACGAACAACACGCCATCATTCAGTACCAGGGATAAAAATAGCAGAACTTTATTTCGCAGACTAAATGAAAGAATGAAGAGCAGATATAGAAACACTCAGTTTACTGTTGCAGCTCTGTGCTGGAAAAACACGCCCTTAGAGGTGAGGCGTCGATGTGTCTGCTCGTGATTGGATAAAGGTTTAGGGTGTGTGAGGGCATATAAAGGAAGTGTCCGCTCCAGTCTGTAAAAGCTTTGCTGAAGGCTGTGGTTGGCATGTGGTTGCTGGCTGGGTAAAAAGTTGCATTTATCAGCTGCTGAGTTTCCTGCAGAGTGTAGATTTGCTGCATCCATGTGGCTAAATTTCTTTTAGGATGTTTGCAGAAAAGCAAGATAACAAGCTGAAGCCAGATTGACCACAGTTACTCATGCCAGTTTCAAACAATGCAGCTTGCAAATACAATCCTCTCAGTGTAGCCTGGTCGCTGTCAGACCAAACAGCGCTGCAATCTACAAACCAAACCGAAATCCAGTGTTTCACCCAAAAGTCTCCCTCTTATTGCTGCTGCACCATGTTGTACAAAGTTACAGTGGATCGCATCTGCAATGCTTTCAAGTAAATATGTGCTTCCAAAAGCAATGAAAATTAAGCTAACATGTCTGAGCCAAGGTTTTAGCCTCATCAAGATCATTTGTTTTCATTTTTAAAATTAGAAAAAACAAAAAGTGAGTAAGAAAGGCCTGTCTAGAGAATGCTACACTGTCACCCAGTGAATACAGTTATGTTGCTTGTACATAATAATATTTAAAGTAAAAAAAAAAAAAACAGACGCCAATTTAAAAATTCCATGGAAATACAAATTGTCTTATGCTCTAAGAGCCGGTCATTTGCTGGTTTTCTGTTTGACACTTCCTTCTTGTGAACTGATGATGATGTGTTCCTCCTTCAGTTTGTATTTTGAGGTCATGCATATGCAACCTTTAAGCCAGGCTTGAAATAATCTTGTAATATTGGCCTGAAGTTGGTATTTTCAAGCTTTTCTGAGCTATCTTTTAAAAATGCCTCTGAGCTGAATTGTCTATATCAGTCGAGGAAAAGAGAAAAAAAAGGTTAAACTGCAGCATGTCAGTCTAAACATTCCCTCTTGGTGTGTTTCCTAAAAGGTGTACTACCATCGGGAGCGTGGCTTACAAGAGACAGAAAAGGAGACAAAGGAGGAGGACCAGGTTTTAACTTTCAGCGGGAACCGTAGCGAGGGACGTCTGCCAGGCCTCCAGCCTTACAGCGTCTACAGCCTCTTCGTCAAGGTCCTTAACAGCAAAGGAGAAGGGCCTCCCAGCCCCAGCAAGACTTTTGAGACACCTGAGGGAGGTGTGTATGGCTGTGGTTTTGATGTGGGTCTTGAACATCATGCATATAGAAAACTGGTGATTCTTGCAATAAAACTGGATTTAAAAAAAAAAAAAATATATATATATTACTAAACAAAGAGGTGGAGAAGCATCTTTCTCACACACAACCAAAAATCATAATACCTGGCAACTATACTAGGAGTGTTTAACACCAATATTATGTTTTCGAGGTTTTTTCCTTTTAATGTCTTGTATAGCTGCTTTTCTGTGCAAGTGAAAGGTCTAAAACACCAAACGTTAATGCAAACATGTATTTTCCCTCCAAAATACTGGTCCTTACCTGCCTGTGACTCTTCATCTGACATATGGGCATTTCTTACATGATATATTTATGTCACCATGTAACACATGGAATTTCAGATAGAAGGTGGGAAGGTATGTTGCAGATTGAGAAAAATGTGTTTGGAACTTTAATGCAACATGTTGTAGTAGGAAGCCCTAATCATACAGGTCCATATACTACGACTCCACAGCCACTTATGTGATATTGGATTCTGAACCCCATGAATGGTCCTTGAACCCAACAGACCCTGACAATGATTCTGGTTTTCTTTTCAGTCCCAGGGCTTCCTTCTTTTCTGAACGTGGTCAACCGTGGTTTGGACTTTCTCACTCTGGAGTGGGGCCCACCGAAGAACAACAATGGCCGCCTCGCTGGATACACGCTCAAATACCAACCAGGTAGCTGTAGATGGTGTCGTGGAAAATTGCTGTAATTCCATGTAAAGTGGAGAATAGAGTTTGTCCAGCCCACAATGGGACTACCTGTGTATTGTACTAGAAATATACCACGTTTGTGCAATTCAAAAGTTATGTTGCACATTCTTAAATCCAATCCTGTTGCCTTCTGCTTTCATCCTATCTTTTCTTTTTTCATCACGGACTGCTTTTTTTCTGTCTCTGCAGTCAACTACACTAGTGAACTGGGACCAGAAAAGGTCATGACCTTTTTGGCCAATGAGACCACCATCACCCTGGGCAACCTGAACGCCAGCATGCTCTACAAGTTTTACCTAAGCGCCAGAACAATCAAGGGCCCTGGCCCCATCATCACAGAAGAGGCCTCCACGGTCGTGGACACAAGTGAGTCCTATGCACACAAACTCACGGGTTTGGCAGCAAATTAAAGGCACAATAAAAAGAAAAGGTCAAAGTCTTAAATCAACAGCCTCTAATAAGAGGATCACAAGATGTCTATAAAAATACAACCTCGAGGAGGATCTATTGCATTCCTCACGCAAGATCTCACACCTCCTCTTTCTCTTTCTCTTCTCTCTGAAGCTCGTACTCAGCCCACTGTAGAGACGGGCAAAGGTAACCCAAGTTTGCCACTGGAAGTATCTGCATGCTCAGATAATAGAAACCAAAACAACCTTAGCATAGACATTATAATCGTCTTACCTCCCTCTGCATGTTACTAAGTTTGCCCAATGTGACTAAACAGGATTTCAGTGTAACAGACTTCCATGGCATCTACAAGCAACCATGCTTGTGTCCTATTCTTCAAGAATAGGCTGCTATTTATGGTAACACTGTGTAAAATCTAGGAATTTTCAGCATTAAAATGAGCCGCGCTTGCAGCCTTTTCCCCTTTTTTTTTTGCATTTGCCTTCTGCAAATGAAAACCATTAAACCCTCTTGCATGATGCTTATGAATGCATTGGTTCCATTATAGTGCTAACTGATTGTATTTAGCTGCTGATGCTCTAAACTGATGGATTTATTGTGCTTATAAACGAAGTAAAAATTCATTTGAAACCAACTGTGCATGCTGCAGTGTTGTGATTCAGAGCTACTTGTTTGGATCCAACGCTGAACCAGGTGTTTAACTCTGAATCTCAGGATTGAGAGGTGTTGCAACATGTTTTTATCTCTGCGTGCCAGTACTGTGTTGTCGTCTGTTGTGGTGTGTATGTGTTGTCTCACTTTTTTCCGTGTTCTTTCAGGCCCCACAGAGCCCCCTCACCCAACTTCCCCCATCACTCAGTCTCTGCATTCCCCGTTTCACAAGGGTACAAGCACTCCCCATGTCCCTCACTACCCTCCCCAAATATCTACCGCTAAACAGAGTGCTGCAAAGATGGTCCACCTCAGCTCATGTTTCAATCTGAAAACGGCAAAACAGAGAGAAATCTCATTACACGGATGAGATATCGTGATAACAATGAACTCTATCCATATGGATTTATTTTCGCTTTTTTAATAGAAACCTAAAAGTTCAGACAATCTTGAGTTCCGTTTCATTTCTCCCACTTGATTCTTGCTTCAACACAATCAACTGAGGTGGACATTTTTGTAGCAACCAAATGTTTTTAATGTTGTGGCAGAAGTTTCAAACTGGTTAAAAGGTTATTAGAAGGTCATTTTTGTTATTATTGACTTGACTTTGGCTGCTTAAGCAACAGTAATGTGTACATATTTGTTCTTCTATATCAAAGCTTTAACTGAACCAAACTGATTCCATGTCTATAGAGGCGATGCCACAAAATTACAGTGACCTACTTCAAGAAACAGGAAGCGACATGATTAAGATGTACAAACTTCTCCACAGATTATATGATTACACAGCCGGGCCTGTAATTCCCTTTTGGAACAAATAGGTGTGATTTAACCCTCTGAATCCCAAAACACAGCAGCAAGCATCGAAGGCACGCTATTTTTTTAAAAAAAACTCACCAAAATGACACCATTGATCAGAGAGAAACTGTAAAAACAGAACAAATCTTTGGGTTTTAAACTTCCCAGCAGTCTTTGAAGTACTCTTGCTATTCCATTGGAAAACTTAGAAAAACTGCTTGGGGTTTAGAGGGAACTCCTTCATTTTTTTCCCCACTGAAATGTTATTTCAACTTCATGCTGTAGAAGCATAGAATGAGCTTACAGAGAATGCACGGCAGGCTGCTTGAGTTAGCTTTTTAAAAAACTGATTAAATGAATCAGGTCAGCTGTATTTTATTTCGTTATAAAGCTGATATGTGAAATTATTGTGGTATTGTTTTGTTGAATTGTTTGTATTTGGAGAGTCCGGTGTGGCCGATGTACAGGATATCCTCTAGCAGAAACATTTTGGCAAATGAATGAGTTGGTTTCCAGACAGGATTGTTAAATTCTTTTATTAAATCAAAATGCAATGAAATGGGCTGAACACGATATATTACACATACTCGTAAATTGTCTGGATGCTGTTATGGACGTTAATATGGATAGTGATACTTTGGCTCCCTAGAAATTCCTGAAAACTTTAAAATTGGTGCCTCTTTTTTGTTCATATTATGAATAAAAACACATTTTCTTGTCTTTCCTGTTTGCTCAGTGCCTCCTGTAGGCCCTCCGTTTGGTACAGTTAACACGTCTGTATCAGAGGACGGTGCAGTGATCAGTTGGGAATACTTTGGACACCATAAGAATGTATATGTGGAATATATTGTAGAAAACAGTAAGGCCTCTCTTTGTCTTTCAAAACATCAGTGCATGCCTTAAATGTCTATCACTGAATCCTTCTCGACTTTTCTCAGCGGTTCCCTTGAATCTAACTCCTGTTCATCCACTGCACCAATTCTAGGTAAAGAGGACTGGAAAAAGGAGGCGGTAAATGGTTCACACTCGCATATGATAAAGGGTTTAAAGCCGGGGATGTCCTATAGGGTGCGTGTGGTAGCTAGAGATGCAGCTGACCCGACAGACCACCGCACAGACGAGGTGTTGGTTACGGTGCCAGGTGAGGCGGCATGCCTCAGAATAGATGGTCTTTGTTTGTTGTTGCCTGCTTCGTGTTTTTTGTCAGATTCATCAGCCGTCATCAGTCGGTCTACTGCATGTCATTTATAACCATCACTAATGGGCCCATTATTTTACTATTTTGGTCTTTTCTTTTTGCCGTTGTGTCTCCAGTGTCTACATAACTTTTGCATAATATCCCATTTTAAAATTCCATTACAGTTCCTGTGCTCATCTGTGTTGCTCAGCATGAAGAGAACAGTCCCACCGTTTTAGCAAACTCCAATTGAAATATGAAATTACAGATATGATTACTCTTCTCTGTTTATTTCTCCCCCTTCCCTCTTTTTTCCGTGGATGTCTAGCTGTACCCAGTCGGCAGGTAGACATCGCCACCCAGGGCTGGTTTATTGGACTCATGTGTGCCATCGCTCTCCTCATCCTGGTGCTCCTCATAGTGTGCTTCATCAAGAGAAACAAGGGAGGCAAATATCCAGGTAAAGCACACTTTGGCTGTATGCAATATGAGTTAAAGCTTACAGTCATGAACAAAGTTTCCACACACTTGTAAAGACCATGTGTATCATGGCAGTCTTGAGCGTTCCAGTGACTCCTATAACTTTATTTTCTATGATTGAATAATTTAATCACATAAATCTTTGTCACAGAAAACAAGATGCATTCTGGTTCTTTTATACATTTATTTTAGGTCGTCTGGAAAAACTAAATCTGCTGAGTGATAAATATACATACAGCTACTTTAATTTTCAGTTTTGGTGATGTGGACAGTTGTGTATCTAATTTTCTTAGTAGCATGGCCTCTTAACTCCTGGAGTATTACAATTGACTACAGCTGATGACTCCTCTAAGCCAATTAGAATGCAGCCCTTTTGATACACTCATCAGAACAACGATACAAGGGGAAAGTCTAAAGACCTCAGCAAAGATCTAAAAATCCAAATCACTGACTTGAACAAGTCATGAAGGTCGATCAGACCCCTTTGAAAGCAGCTACGAATGCCAAAATCAACCGTGCAAACAGTTGTTTGTGCATGGTACAGTTGTCACTGCCATGATCAGGGAAAAAAAGCACAAACTATCACCTGCTGCTGAGAGACAGTTGGTCAGGAAGGTCAAGAGTCAATCAAGAATCACCAAAAGCTGGTCTGCAATGCATTAGAAGCTGCTGGAACACAAGTCGTAGTGTGGTTCACATCTCCATGGGCTGAGAGGCTGCTGTGCAAGAAGAAAACACTTGCTGTAGAAGCAGCACCTGGACATGGACTATTCCTTCTGGAGGAAATTTCTGTGGACAGATGAAACAAAAATTGAGCCATTTTGCCAAAATGACCAGAAATGTTTAGAGGAGAGAAAGAGAGGCCTTTAACCCCAAGAACACCCAACCCGCTGTCAAGCATGGGGGTGGCAGTATTATGCTCTGGGGTTGTTTTGCTGCCAGGGGAACTGGTGCTTAAGAAGAATATTATTTTTTTTTTTTTTTTTAAATCTCAGAAGACTCATCGGAGTCACTGGAAAATCAAGACTATGATATACATGATGTCAACAGGTGTATGTAAACTATTGTTCACAACTGTATTGAAGTGAATGGGTTGAAATGTTAAAACAAATCACTGTTTGATTAACAGTCAAAGAGAAAGAAGATGCTCACCAAGACCCAGAGATCCAGCCCATGAAGGAGGATGATGGGACATTTGGAGAGTACAGGTGAGCCAGAACAGTTTGGCGTCAGGCAAAGACAGAGATTTTTCTTACATCATTCATTGTGTCCTGACTTGGCTGTTTGTATGTAGAGCATTTTACCAGGTTGCAGAGACACTCCCACCTCCAGACTCCATTACCAAACACACAACTGAGGCAAGGCAAAGTCCAAACTACTGTGTGATTCTTAAAATGACCGACTCACCGCCACATCGGCCATCTAATCAACAACAGCTTTCTGTAATGCAAAATATGTGGATTATCTCATCTTTGGCCAAGATGGTTGTATACTAACTATACAAATGGGAAAAACCACATTGATAGTTTTAGTTTTTCCATCGCTTTCATCTTTCTTTTAGAAGTATATAATATTCTAGAAATATTATGCCTGAATCAAGGACTTCTCATGAATTTAGAATTCTAAATCATTTAGCTGCAGTCCTGTAATTTTATTAGCTGTTAATGTGGATGTCGTGCTTTAAATGTTTCCATGCGCATGCTTTGTCTTGCAAAACTGATTTCATTGTCTGTGTCTGAAAAAAAAAACACATGAAAAAGTAAACTCATGAATTGCTTTTCATGTGTCCCTCCATGTTTTTTTTTTCTGTTTTGGGGGTTTTAGGTCAATGGAGAGGTAAGACGAGATGCGGTTAAAACCAGCATGCAACTCACGCAACCTGTAAAATGTCTTTAAGCTGTTTCTAACTCAAGTGAAAGTAAAGTCAAGAACAAACAGGTCGACTATGCCATCGTAGTCATTTCTGTGATATAGTCAACACCGCAAATGCAGTTATTGCATTAACATGGAGATTTAGCATTTCATTATTGTGGCTTTTTCTTACTCTAGCTTCCTTTATTTAGTTATTTTTGCTTAATAAATGTGTTTAATTTCACTATTTTAAACACACTGAGCTTGAAAACAGTTAAATCAGTATGATCCTAAATTCAGAGCTTGCGTAGTGTAAAGTAGAAAAAGGTGTTTTTGGTAAAATGGAGCATAAAAACAGGATATAAATGGAAACAATGACTTCATCGTTGGAAATATAATTGCATTTTTGATTAATGCATGGAAGCATATTGACTGGAATCCTTTCAGAAATTGCATTCTAATGTAGGTAAAGGACTGAACAGCACGCATTTGCAAAATCCTCCGTAGCATTGCACCCAGGCTTAAACCCCTCCAGCACTAACACTATAGATGATAGTCTATATGTAGCTGAGCTCCTCCACTGTACAAGTATGGTCCCGTGAAGTAGACTCTGTTTTTATGCATCATGAGAACCCTTCAGGGAAATGGAAAAAGTGACGACTCGTGTATGTGTTTTGAAGTGCACTTGAACTAGAATAACGTTCATACAAAAGACAACAGAAGGCCATGCTGCCACGACATTGTCAGGATGTACTTGTGCAGTGGAAAAGCCAAGACTGCTAATGTGACAAATGCTTGACGAGCCTGTCCTCGATGGGGGGGCGGCCAAGTTCTGCAACCTGCATGAACTATTCCTCCGTGACCTTCCTTTAAAACGTCTTTCCACTCTTCTGCAGTGACACAGAGGACCACAAGCCGCTGAAGGGCAGCCGGACGCCGTCCAACGGGACGGTGCGCCGCGACGAGAGCGACGACAGCCTGGTGGACTACGGGGAGGGCGGGGACGGACAGTTCAACGAGGACGGCTCCTTCATCGGCCAGTACAGCGGCAAGAAAGAGAAAGACACGCACGAAGGCAACGAGAGCTCGGAGGCCCCGTCGCCCGTCAACGCCATGAACTCGTTCGTCTAACGAAGGGCCGACAGCCCGGCGGCAACTGTTGCTACGGCCTGCATCCTCGTCACCCTGGCAAATGTGACCATGGAGACCGCCTCTGTGGTGACAGTTGCTAAGGTGACAGTCGTTTTGTGGACGCCTACTTTTACCCCCGTTGGTGGCTGTCGCTCTGGTGGCCATGGCTACCCGTCACCAAGACTGCTGACACGTCCTCATCCCCACATCCCCGCCAGCCCCCCGAAGTCACACTGTGACCTCCCAATGAACACACACTCAACAAGACTGACACTACATCCCCCCCCCCTCCCTCCTCCCAATGAAAGCTGAAAGAAGGTGTGAAACAAGGGATGCGACGAGTTAAAGGAGAGAGCAAGCAATATAGAAAAGCAGGAGGAATGTACCAGAGAAGGGTTTTACCACTCAGACTGTGCACGAGTGTGTCCAAGTGTGTGTTAGTGCCATTCGATCTCCTTTTTGCAAAACATCCTGAATATCCAAATATATATATTTTATCAAAGTACGGGACACGACCCCAAGGCAGGCGGATACACATCCCGATCATAAACATCTGCATGGAGTAAATCATGATAGCATCTTACCACCCTCGTGTCAGTTGTTGCAGAGGTGTTGAAACTGTATATGGTGCACGCCTACAAGCAGCTGCCTTTTTGTTTTCTTTTTTTTTCTTCTCTCAGTCAGAAAGTGTTAAATGGCGTTTGATATATAGAGGAAAAAATGGCAGCGGTGTCACTGCTGTGAAATGTGTGACTCAAAGTAGAAGCTAGCTTTTGTTTTTTTTTGTTTTTTTTTTCGAGACAGACGGACTGTTTGTACATATGTAATAGAATAAGAAGAAAGCTATATTTCAAGGTCAGGTATGTCCATTTGTAGTCATTGGAAAACCTGGCAAGAAAATGCATTGAACTCAGCGTTCGGTCACTCCTTATCACACCAACCAGCCAGCCAGCCAGAACTCCCACACTTAACTCCAGTCGGCCTGATTTTTAGCCTCATGTTTTCTCAAGCTTGTTTTTTTTTTTTTTTTCCCTCCGCTTTCTTTCCCAATCTGTTTCTTTCCACCGAGCCTATGCTTTCTGTTCCCGAAGCTGATTGATCCGGTGTCATCGTCAAGTGCTTCCACCCCGAGTCGTGGCCGCTGTGTCAGAGCTAACAGCATTTCCGATAGCATTTTTCTCCTGTTTCTGCCGCACGCGCCGGCAGAAAAAAAAAAATCTGTTACACGTAGAGGTTCACTGAAAGTACACTCTGTAGTTTCTGGATATTTTAGATGTTGATGATCGAGAAAGGTCTCAGCACGGTTTCTAGTGCCTTTGTAGAGAACAGTGACCTAGATCCATGGCGTTACATCCCTCTTCATACACGAGACGGACCAGGGCTTAGAGCGGTTCAAGTAGAATACATTACACGGAGAACACCATCCAACTTTACTGTAGCTTTTAAAGTTATGCGAGTATTAAAAACTACATTAAACATTCATGGGAAATAAGCTACAGGATTCAGGCGATAAAGAAGAAATTCTTCATAGGGGAACATTAAAACTGTCTTTTGAGCTGAGTTGTGAGTATGTGGAGTCCAGGGTTCCTACATGGGGTTTAAAGAATAAAAGAAAAGTGGATTTTGATTTCACAGGCATGAGTTGTGAGGAATCATTTACAGCTGTAGATTGTTCTGGCCTTGTTGACAATCATGCTATTTAGCTACCATTAGCTCAAGTGGTACACAAACGGTAAAAAAATAAAAAATAAAAAAATAGAAGAAGTCGTCCCATGGGGAAATATGTGGAATATTAAAAAAAATACATGTAGGAAACCCGAGGTCATGATTCATTTCTCTCCTCCTCCTCACCTCGTTTCATCTGGAGGAGGAACTAAACTACTGCCAACCTGCTCACCAGGTAACTGCCAATGGGAACCAGACGCACCACGGGGGGACAGTCTCACCGTTACCGGTAGCTCTGAGGAGACGAAGGGGGTCGGAGAATTGATGCTGAATGTGGAAACAAGTGTCCGTTTATGTGAATGAAAAATGTTGCTTGTTTCACTGCAAATGGTAAACACACTGGTGACTTTGGTTTATGCATTTAACCTTATCTATGTCGTCTGAGCGCAGCACTCAGTGAGTTTTCTATTACTGTAAATGAATGAAGCTTATGTGTGAATGTTGGGGTGCATGAGTGTGTGTGTGCGAGTGTGTGTGTGTGTGTGTGTGCAGCACATGCATGCTACCGTGTTACAGCGTGCGTGACGTGAACTACTGCTTTCTATTTCCATAAATCCGATGTGTCAGTCTGCTCCTGCTCCTGACAGGAAATGCAAGACTTCTTTTTTTTTTTTTTCTCAGAGAACATTTCCATGTTTTAGGTTTTATCATAACTTGCATCAAGTTTTTAGGTTGCAACGCGTCGGCTTTTCCACATGTAGATATTTCTGTTGTGTTTTTGTAAATAACGGCTTGAACTGAGCGTAGAGGTTGGAGATGAGAGCTTGACCTCAGCCAGCCCCGCTGCATTATGGGTAGGGGGCTGGCAAACACACACACACAAAAAAAAAAAACAAAACAAACGGCGTTGTGTGAGATGAGACTATTTACAGTTTTCACTCTTTCATTTTGGTGTGAAATAATTTTCTTTTCTTTTTTAACTCGTCAGGTGAAATTGCTAGGTCAAATGTTTTAGCCTATCAGGTATCAAAGGAGATTATTTAACTTGTGACTGAGCTCTTGTGACACCTGTATTGTTTCTGTCTTTGACAGTTCATGCACATTTTCTGTATTTTTTATAAAAAGGTGCGCAGTCAAACGGGCCGTGTCATTTCAAACGGTCGTGCATCTAATTTACGACAACATCTGGTGTCTGAATGCATCGTGCTGGAGAACTTGTTGTCCTAAACTAGACCTCGCATGACGATGACACATCCGTCTGAATGTGTGCACTCAAAAAAAAAAAACAAAATAAAACTAATTTTGAGCATACGGAACGATGGCCGGCATGGATACATAAGTGGACTGGTGAATTGGAGTGTGAATACCCTGGAAACAATGTTCTAGTTACTGGTGAACATACAGTAGGATATACAGTATATGATATGATATAATATGACATTCTGGTTAATGTTGAAGCTACACGAGAAGCATGAAAGGCTGTCAAAATTGTTTACTCTACAATATAATATTGCAAAATATTTTGTATTTTAAATGAAGTTTAAAAAAAACAAAAAACAATGAAATAAATGTTGGTTTCAGGATTTCAAACCAGCTCTGTGTTTCTTTGGGACAAGTGTGTGCGTGGGGCTCCACCTAGTGTATGATGTTTTTTTCCTCTTCCAGCTAATAACCTACAGAGATAAACCTCCAAAAGTTAATCCTGGAAAGATTAACATACATCTGGTGTGTCTGTTTTTCTTTTTTTTTTTTTATTTATTCACGTGGCATGGAGCAGCTTGTCTGTACTATTCTGTCTCTCCAAAAGCAAATGTGACGGCTGAATATGAGATGAACATCACCATGACAGAGGCTGGTGTACTATTACAGCTGCCGAGTGCAGTAAATATTAGAATAAGAGGCCTCTTAATTAGGAAAACAAGACAAATGAAAGATTGTAATGGGAAATTCATCCTATAATCTATCATTTTTGCCCCCTCCATTGGGGTTGAAATCATATTCCCTCTCATCTCTGAAGTGCTGTCTGGGATCTGTCATCAATAATACATGGATGTGAAGGTCATTTATGATGCACAGCACATGGTGGCATGAACTGTAGTGACCTCTTTCTAGGTTTTTTTAGCTCTATTTGTTCAGCTTTTACTATTTGAATTCACTTTAATAAATCTTTGGTTATGGGTACACAGAGTTCTAGAGTTAGATGCTTGTGTTTGCTTGTGTTTTATTCATTAAATAACAGGTGTGAAAGCATTCTTATGATGCTTTTATGTGCTGGGGTGTGTAATTTATAGGAAATGAGGGTTTAAATCATTTTTCAAGATGCCTTTACCTTCCTGTGTGGGATGCGCAGCAGCAGCAGCAGCAGCAGCAGCATCAGCACCACGCTCGCATCTCCTCCCATCCCTCCCTCTCACACGGACCAATCAGAGGCGCGTCCTCGCCGCCAGCCCGACGTGCCACTCAGCCTCCTCCATCCAATGGAAAAGTTCGTGTGAAACGGGACGCTCCGGCGGGTGGGCTCTGTGGGACGATGCGGTTCGGGTCCAGGTGAGCCATGAGGAGAGTGTTCTGAGATTCCCCCCCTTCGCTCTGCCCTCAAAGGTAAGAACGACACCACACGAGAGCGCGAGAGAGAGAGTGGCTCTTCTGTCTGGACTTGTGCGAGCGTAAAAGCCGGGGATGCGGTGTCGAGCAGCAGCAGCGTTGGTGCTGAAATGGACCGGCACTGGAGTACCGCAATGCAGAGCAGCGAATTACCGGTGCCGCTCAGTCGTCACTGGGGCGCAAGTGATGTAAGGGGGGCTGCGCAGTTACTTTTCCAGGCTGCTGCGACAAAAGTCAGTGGATTAAAATGAAAAAGAAAGAGACCGGTTTAGCCTCTCGCTGTGCAGTTCGCTCAGGCTAAAAAACTAAGTGTGTCTGTGGAGGCAGGGAGGAGGCTCAAGGTGAAAAGTGTCAGATTTTGAATGCGTCAAGGGCGCAGGAGGCTGTGGATGCATCATGGCATCTGTCTGGTGAAGGATTAAAGTGATGGGCAGGAGGGCAACTCCCTTATTCCTCAAATACTCTTTAAAGATTGTGTTCTGTAGTTACATGAAAGCATCGGTTGTGTAGAAATCAAATAAATTTTGCAAATGTGTTGGTATGGTGCAGATCCAAATGCTGTATGTGCAACTTAAACATGATGAAGGTTAAATGGCATGATGTGCAAGAAGGGAGCCTATATGGTGTGTTTTCTGCAGCAACTTGGATATGTGCAGGATTTTCTTTCCCTTGTGTCCTAAACTGCAACAGAAATGTCCAGAAAATGACTCGGCCTTCCCACACGTCAGAAACCGTTTCACATAATGTTTACTTCCTCCTTTTAAATCCTCAACGCCTCATCGATAAGCAACCTCCAGATTAAAACAGCATCATTAGGACGACTTTGGATGTGATTTCTTGCTGCCACCAACCCACAGCAAACACAGTCAGCGGCTAAGACAGTGGGCTTAATACATGTGCTGACCTAAATTTCGCCGGCCTGTCCAAAGAGGATCTGTGATGGGATTATTGCCAAAGGGGGGGAAACACATGAAAACACTCTCAGATGAATTGATCAGAGGACGACAGACTGGTGCAGCAAGAATCTATAAAAGCAAATCTGCTGCTTAGATAAAAGTTACATTTATATATTTTTTTGTCTCACTTTGCTGAGTTCTGACTCCGTGTCAGAGATGCATAGAGGACATGTAGCTGTGCATTTGCAGGACATATGAACGACTGCTGTGCAGCATGGTGGTATTAGTGTTGAGTCATCAGGAGTGCCCATGAGGAGTCAGTGCTGCAGTCTCTGCATCTCTGTGCTGGGTGGATGCCTGTGCTCGCTCGCTCTCTCTCTCTCTTTATTCCTGCCTGGTGAGGCTGCTGACTGAGAATAATGGGATGTCTGGCAGTTTGTTCTCTTGTCTTCTCACACCCAGAATGACTCTGCAAAGACGATGTGGCTGCTAGTTTGTTGTCAGATGATAGTTGCTGAAGATGGCTGCGATGTTTTCGCTCCAGCAGTTAAACTTCTCTGGAGTTTTCTGGCTTTATTCAATATAACATCCCATTTTCTTAACGCCTATAAGGGAAGAGTGCTGTATTAAATTCCTGATCACAGCCTGATGCCCTTTGACACTGTAGGAAGATTATGGGTTCCAGCCTGAGCTTCACGCTGATGCTTTCGGGCGATTTCGATGGTTTGTGATGCATTTTACACCAGACTTGCACATCTTTAATGAGAGCAGAGACCATAAGGAAACTCTTTGCTATACATAGCCGCTGTGTTTTCTGTATGTTTTGTGTGTTTGGGTGCAGAAGCTGATGGTTTTAACTGATAACTGGGATTTCATGGGACTGTTCTGTGCCGTTCTGGGGATCTGTTTCATTTCGCAACAACAGTCCAAAACAAGACATGGCAGAGATGTATCCTACTGAATTACCAGCCAGTATAACAAGATTAGTTATAGAAAATCAGGCTGTGCAAACCCATTTAAGGAAGGGAACAATTGGATTTCTCCTTTTAGAGTATGTTACAATATGCTACAAGCAGGGAAACAAGAGGAGGGATTGAACTTTGTTGTTTAAGAACCTGTTTGTACGCCTCAAAAATCACTCCATCGCTGTATTGGTGTCATTGATGTAGCAGAAGGCCAAAAGGAAGGACTTCAAATTTGGAATGGCTGCTGACAGAGGGTTCGTAGCTCAGTTGAAAGACATAAAAAACCTCCTACTCTGATTCAAAACAACATGAAGTTTAGCCCGACACATGGCTACTTGCTGCATGTCCTTACCCCACTCTTCTCCCCACCTTTCCTATCCAATAAAAGCTAAAGGTAAAAAAATATGCATACATATATGGCACAAGGTGTTATGATATCCAAAACTTCTCATATGCTATAGATACAATATAGACTTTTGTACCAACAGACCAGATGAGAGATTTGAATTCTGGATAAGGAAAGAACTTACAACCTCATTTACACACGAAAATACATGCAGAGTATCAGTATTTCAATCAGACATGCAGATCGGGAGACATCAGAGTTTTATAAAATCCGGAAATGAGCTCTCAACTCAATGCTAAATAAGCCTCTCTTTAGGTTGTACAATGCTCTCTTACATGCTAAAAAGAAAAACACCTTCAACATCAAAGAAAAGTGGGGAAAGAACCCAGTATGGGGCTTTCTGGTGAGATCGCTTGCAGGAGTCCTCAATGCACTGATTGGAGAGAACACTGTTCAGAGGTCGTACACCAAGAAATGTACAAGAATACGAGGTTGACATGTTGGAGACATTGTGGCTCAAAGGATGCAGATCATTTCAGCATATTCTGTGATTTCTCTAAATTGAGTTTTTATTCGTATGGCAATCCCAAAACATTCAATAAGATATTCAAGGCCCAGATACCCCAGAACTTTGAGACCCTTTATCTCAGCCACATTGTTGTTTTGAATCAGAGAAGGAGTACAAAGCTGCTACAAGCCCTTTTAGCAGCAAGTAAAAACATCTTACTGTCGGCTTTGGAAGACTTGTATGGTTTAGTTTTGGAAATATCCAAAAAGGAAAAGCGGACCTAGAAATGGAAAAGACTAATTCTACCAAGTGTGGCACAAATGCATCAGATAACGTTTGTATAACTTCATGTTTCACGCCGAGACAAACGGAAGTCTAAGCTTCCTTTGGTTCTAACATATACTGTTATATTTCTTTCTAGAATGTCAGATGAGGATGCCTAAACAAGTGAAACAGTAAAAGTGCAAACCGATCCAAGTAAAACAGCCTGTTGTTTGAAGGTATATTACTTATATAAGTAGAGACTATCTAGGGACACGTGTACTTCTCCTGGATGTGAAGATGGAGAACTTATGACGATCTTAAGTCATCAAGTATGGCTGCTTTCAACACCTCATGCAAGCTGTGAAGGGTTATTTTTCAAATCAGACTGGATTTTCACCATCAATCTTGGTCATCATTTCTTTCTGACGCACTGTTTTCTGTGTTTTCGGTCTTTATTTACACCCTTGACTCATGCTGCAGACACTACAGCCCACAAACACCCTCTTAGTTAGCCATCGCTCGGCTCACACAAATGTTGCCTGCAAGTGCAATATTTCAAGATGAAGCATGTGTATTTATTGCTCCCAAATTCCATTTAGTCACATGATAAGCTGTTAGTACTTCACTCTGAAACAGCACAGGAGATTTGTGCGGAGATTTCCCTTGTCCATCATTTATATTTCGTAGCATAACATGAGAGCTCCCCTGGAACAGTTTAGGATTGTACACCTTTCTCCGTCTCACTCCAGTCTGCTTTAAATAACCATGTTGCTCTCTGACCTCTCTGTAGATTAGACCAGTAACAAAAGAAGAGAGTATTTATTTTCTTTATATGTTGACATCGCTAAAGAGTTAAATGTCCGATTGTATATGAATGCACCTCCCAGTTCACTCACGTGGGGTACCTGCCTCAACAGCCAATCAGAGTTTACGCAGACCACGTTCAGCCTGTCGGCTCGGAGGTGAAGTGCAGGTGCGTTGACCTTACGGTCTTATCTCATCTCAGCCACGGGAGTGAAGACAGCTATTGCTGGAAACACAGACAAACATAGAGAAAAGGGAGGAAAATCTCCAATCACAGCCAGCGCACTTATCTACTGGAGGTCCGGAGCCAAGGGACTGAACGACGGAGACAAGTAACGTCGGTAATAATAATAATAATATCATAATAATAATCATAATAATAGGTTTATTTATAAAGCGCTTTTTAAAACACAGGGTTACAAATCGCTTTCACATAATCCAAAAAGATAAAAACACAATTCTGATAAGATATAATACAAAGTTAATGTGATGCAATATAAAATTAGTTCAAACAAACATACATGTATACATACAACACAAGCGTAGCAGATAGTGGACCAAGTTCAATACTGACCTCCCTAGCACAGTGATCTGGGCCAATCACAAGGACCTCTGTTTTGTCTGAATTTAGCAAGAGAGAATTTTTGACATCCAGTTTGTAACTGATTCAATCCAGTCATGAATGCTATAGATGTTGTTAAGGTTATTTGGGCTTACTGAAAAGTAGAGTCGTGTGTCGTCAGCATAGCAGTGGTAGGAAACACCACTGATAGTATTAAGCAAATGACCCAGAGGCAGCATGTATAGGGAAAATAGAACTGGTCCCAGAATGGACCCCTGAGGGACCCCGCATACAACGGAAGCAGAGGACGAAACATAGTGATTTATGTGAACACTGAATGATTTGTTTGACAGATATGATGAAATGTTTGGAGCAAACTAGAGGGTAATTTTTGGTGCAGTTCTCTCTCATGAATAGGCCTATAGTGAAAGAGTAGCTTAAACACACTTCTTTGATGCCTCTAAAACAAACTCGATATGTGTATTTACAGCTATTGTATTTGCACATGACTGTGATGTGGTTATTATGTGATATTTTGAATGTTACTTACCATGAGTTTTACTGAGTTACTGTTCATATGAACTGAGAAGTGTGTGAGTACTTGAATGTTTAGTTCTCATATTTGATCCACTGAAAACTGAATGTTATACAACTGAACAGCTGAAGATTTGAGATTTGATATGAGGTTAATGTAATATTGCGATATTTTACATTTAAACCTTTAATGATGCATCTGAGACTAGAATGTAAATTATATGACCTTAGTGGAGGGACGAGAAAATCCAAAGATGAGGACGAGATTCTGGTCGTGACAGATGGCGAGCCAACCACTTTGAGGAAAACTCACAACAACGGAGACACCCATGCACACACTCATACACCTACATTCACACTACATTTATATGGACACTTTTATTTGGTTTAAGTGTGCACACTATTTATTTTATTTCTGATCATTTGGGTCATTGTTTTATTGTTATGTTTTTCCTTTTTGTACAAACTGAATATTTTAGTTATCCACTGTAAAAAAAAAAATACATGAGTTGCTACTCAACAGTTATTCAGTCGCTCAACACTTTGGCTCCTTACGAATTCGGTGTCTTCTGACTCTGGCCAGGCTCTTATTACGAGCCCAACCTGTTATTACACTGTAATTCACTTTTATATTCCTAAAACTGGTTACATCTCACTCTGATTTTTTTTTTTCTGTTGCTCCCGTTTGTCAGAGGAACTTAAAACGCTGCAGCTGTGCCGCTGTTTCATCCTGCAGAAGTGATGTGTAAGCATGTGTGACGGCACAGCGGGAGCTGTCTAGATGCTGCAGAGCTACCGTGTGTTCTGTGCATATAGACACCGCTGGGATTTCAGTGTGCACGGTCGAGCTTCTGCAGGTGTCTTTGTGGACGCACTCCGCTCACACGCCTGCATTGTACTGCTGAGTCACTCGCATCCTGAATCATTTATATGCACAGGGAGGATTCTAGCTGGTTCTGCACTGGCTCTGTTTCTGCTCTGGAAAGTCGTGCAGATAGCGTGCACAGTCATCAGATTTGCATGTTTGGAGTTATATAAGCGTGTTAATTAAACTGGTGGTTGTAAGGACACATGTTAAACTAAATGATTTGAACCTGCACATGTTTCTTTTTGTCTCTCTCAGCCCTCTCCAGTTCATACCCTGTCCATCGACTTCTCTGCATCCCTCTTTCCATCCGCCCAGTTCACGTGGTCATGGCTTCTTCTGCTTTATTGCTGCTGGTGCTTTCCTCCTCTGTCTCCCTCACAGGTAAGATAGAAACCTGAAAGTGCACCAGTTTTACAGTGCTTCTGGTGATCATGTGCTCATCAATAGCTAACGTGACAATGCTTCTGCTCTTCTAGTGGCCGTCTTGTTTGGTGAGCCCAGAATCTTTGGAGGTGAGTTCTTGGAATTGGTGTCCGAAAAGAAAACCAACATTCAAGGTGATTTGAAGATGAGTAAATTGTTTTATTAAATTTCTCAGAGGATGCTACTGGTTACGGCCCCATATTTGAAGAGGAGCCTGTGGATGTGGTCTACACTGAAGACTCACCCGATGGGAGAATCTCCATGAACTGCAGGGCACGTGCAAACCCACCAGCTTCATACAGGTCACTCACCATTACAAGAAGAACCCTAAACAATGATCCGCGATATTATATGGCATTGTGCTGTGTCAGATTTTATCCACATAGTCTGTATTTGTTTTGCTGCCAGGTGGCGCCGTGATAACTGGGAAATCAAGCTGATGGAGCAGCCAGATGAGCACTACAGCCTGGTGGGAGGGAACCTGGTTATCACCAACCCTTTACAGAAGAAGCATGCTGGGACGTACATCTGCGTGGCCAAAAATATCTACGGCACCGTCATCAGCAAAGAGGCCAGAGTCAAGTTTGGATGTGAGCATAAAACCAACTAATGCTGGCTAGCAGGACATCATTTTATATGTCTGGTGTCCAATTTGCTTCTCTTGTATAAAGCTTTGTATGTTTCTTTGCCTGATTTAGAAACGACCAGTGCTTTAACTGTCTCAACCCCAAAACTCACCAGTAGCTTTGAAAGGCTTGTTGTCCTAAAAGTTATCAAATTTACACCATTTAGCAGATCCAGGAACTGTAATAATGTAGAGAATTGCTGGATATTCAACTGTCTGATGGCCTTTGAACTAATCAAGTGTGGCATGCGTCCACTAGTAAAATGAACCATAACTGATTTTTAGCTGTCCTAGGCTGAACTTCAGTCTGTGTTTACACAGAGCAAACAGGAGACAAATATTTGTTTTTACATCTGGACAGGGACTACAGATAAAACATTACCCTATGGTTAACTCTAGCACATTTACAGAAATGTGCAGTCCTGTTGTTTGAAAATCATTTCTAAATAAAAAACATTTTTTTGAAGAAATTGTGGAAAAATGTAAAATCTAAGTATCTATCATACATAGAGTCCTTTTTTTACAACAGCACTGGCAGCATTAGTAAGCACTTGGACACATATTGTCCATGTTGATTCCAGTTTTTATCATCAATTTTAATCAAACAAATTCAAGTGTCTTTTATTATTGTTTCTTGCACAAAAGACATTCTTAAGTGCGCTCTATATCTAGCCATGGTTGTGCTGTTTCTGTAGAGGTGCAGGACTTTATATTGAAGCTAAAATGGGCCCACATTGAGACAAATGTGACGAGCAAAAAACAACAACGTCCAGAAACTGCTTAGGGTTAAATGTCTCGTTACTGATGCTTTTTAAAGTCAAACTGACGTGCATAAAACATCAGGATGTTGATGCGGAAGCCTTGTGCTGCACATCTATAAGTGTACAAATTGTTCTGGCGCGCAATTTTATTGGCTACTTTAGTACTTTGAATCTGAGGTATTAATAATTCACCTGAACTCAGCGACTCTCTGCAGCCCTGCTGAGGTTTATGCCAGTCTTCATTCTTATGTTTCTACTCTTGACAAACTGCGGGGAAATAAAATGAGCTCATATATCAAACTGCTCTGTGTTGAAAGAGGAAACACCCACTCTGTTGACTTTGAGGTCCGTAATGACGAGAGCTGATTCATTCCTTTGAGTTTCCGGTGATGGTCTGTATTGATGAACAGTTTTGCAGTGAAGCCTCCGTGGTTTTGTGTAGCTTCGATGATTCATCATTCTTCTTTGTCCGCTTCCATCTTCTCCGTAGTTATCGGTGAGTTTCCTGATGAGGAGAGAGATCCCGTGTATGTCAAAGAAGGACAGGGAGCTGTTCTGCTGTGTGCACCTCCGAAAGCCTGGCCACGTATGTACAGGTCTTCAAGTGTTCCATGAATAACTGTTACAACCCCAGTGAAGAAACTATGCTACATAAATGAGTTTGGGCCATTTATTCATTCGTCTGAAGCTGGGGTTCAAACTTGTCCTTCTGTCTCTTCCTATCCAGAGGAGGTAACTTATCGCTGGATCTACAACGAGTTCCCAGTTTTCCTGCACACAGACCACCGGCGCTTTGTCTCCCAGAAGACGGGGAACCTGTACATCTCCAAGGTGGAAGCTCAGGACGCAGGAAACTACTCCTGCTTCGTGTCTAGTCCCGTCTTAGGGAAGAGCGTCTTCTCTAAGTTCATCCCTCTCATCCCCTTGCCTCCTGATGATGGTTAGTCAGTGTGCTGCAGCTAAACAAGAAACAAAAGCTATAACTTTCTTATTTCTTATGGTGCATTTTTATTTTGCCTCAGGTGAGGAGAGAAAGTATCCAGCAGACATTAGAGTGAAGTTTCCAGACACTACCGCCATGCTGGCCTCTAATATTACCTTGGAGTGCTTTGCTCTCGGAAAGTAAGTTTTTATTGGTTAGTCAGTGTTTGCTCACAGTCAGAGTCATGGAAATAAGCAAACGTTCAATCCTGTTTGAAACAATGCTGAGAGATAAAGGCGATGCACTTGAAAAATTACAAAAAAATTACATTTTGTAGTCATTTTCATAATTTAAATAAATAAAAACCATACATAAGTCAGCTTTTGCTATCCAGAAAGAACAGTAAACATATAAGAAAACACCTTTTGGCCACAGTAACAGTTGACATGATTGGTGCAGGACAACAATGGCTTTTCAGGTTAAGAAGCTCGTACCATTTGTGAAGCTTGTTATGGTTCAGGGTTGCTTTTCTGCCTCAGGGAAGGGCAGCTTGCAGTCATTGATTTAACTAGGATGTCTGCATTATATCAAAGAGTGAGCACTCTGTCAAAAAGTTCAACCAGAAATGGATTAGAAAAGATAATTCTCCTAAGCACACAAGTAGTGGCTCAAAAAGAAGTAATGGAGGGTTATGGAACAGCTTAGTCAAAGTCCAGAATTTAATTTCGAATGATTATTTGCAATAGGCATACAAGAAAACCCTCAAAAATTAAGGGACTTTGCAGGAAGAGGGTGAACAGTGAAGCAAAACCTCCAGATGGTGCAATTCTAGCAAGAAAAATAACACTAATGGATATTGTTGTTTAATAAATGACAGAAGATTTTCCTTGTTTTTAAGTAAGTCACCTTTAACGAGGATCAAATGTTTCCCTGTCCAAATATGTCCAATATGTATGTATACCTACTTTGTCACATGACTGTATATAATGTTGATTTGTGCATTTGTGAGTTTGTCATAACAACCAGCTACCTTTGCGTCTGCTCAGCCCCATCCCTCATATCGTGTGGAGGAAGGTGGATGCCACAGATCTCCCTGCGAATCACGAAATCAGTGAATCTGGAGCCGTGCTTCATCTGTACAATGTGCAGTATGAAGACGTGGGAGGATACGAGTGTGAAGCCATCAACACTAAAGGAAAGGACTGGCACAAGGCCTGGCTCTATGTGGAGTGTAAGTGAAGTTAATGGTGTGCACTTAGTCCAAGTTAGATTATGGAGAGCACCCGGCAAAAGATGTGTCTGCATTTTGCATAATTATATCCAATAATGCTCTTTTTGTGTTCTCAGCTGCTCCAGAGTGGGCAGAAACCATCAACAACACTCAGATCGACATCGGCTCAGAGCACACCATGCGCTGTGTGGCATCAGGGAAACCCTTCCCTTTCATCCGCTGGTACAAGGATGGATATATGGTAATGAAACAACCTAGTTTTATTACCTGAGAATATCAGCTTGTTTTCACTTTTATGTGTAGATCTTCTTTAAAATTCTATTCAAGTGCACATTTGTGTCATTTTTCTAGTATGGGAAAGGTGAGCTGAAGTTTTCCAGTCTCACTTTTGATGACTCAGGGATGTACCAGTGTATCGCTGAGAACTACTGGGGCATCAAATACGCCAACGCCGAGCTGCGAGTCATCGGTGAGCCTTCCCAGAAAACTGCACTTCCATAGATTTACTGGCTATTTGAAAGCACAAATACGCTGTAGAGGTTTTTATGGGATTGAGAATGTTTTTTTTTAGGTAAAGGTATGGTTGACAGAAGATTGGATGAGCAACTGGATCCATAAGACACACTGTACATTGACTGAAGACCCTACAGAGAGAACACTGACCAAGGTTCGGACTGACTTAAGAACCTCACTGACTGACAAAGACCACAACCCTGGAAATGAAACCAGAAATTGGAAAGAACTCAACTGAGGAAATCCACTATGCAAATTAGGTTGTACACTGAGAAAAATTGGAGTGCCATTGACTTGAAAACAGCTCGGTAACAATTTCCACACTGAAATTCTTACTAATTTTTAATCAGGAAAATGTCAAGTAAAATTTACTTGCCAGCAAGAATTTAATTATTTTTTTAAATCAAAAACAATCAAGTAAACATAACTGGCAAATTTCTTTCAAATGCAAAAAGTCTTTGATAATAAATTTCACTCAAAATACTGCTTGTTGTCTGTTCCTCTGGTCTGAATATGACCACTGCACAAAAGACTGACATTTTGAACCACTTTAAACCCATGACTGTAAAATCAATGATGCAATTTGTGGGCCTGGTCACTTACAGTAAGAATTTTGTACCTGATTTCTCTGGCCTGGTAGCATCTCTGAGAGCTTTAACTACACGAGCTGGACATAAAAATTACAACTCTCCCTTACAATGGACGGCCATGACAGAAAAAGCATTTGTAGATGTTACAACACCACTGTCCACAGCGTGCAATTTACATACCCCCAATTATCGTGAACCATTTCACCTGGATGTTGATGAAAAGAACGGCTTTGTGAATGCCGTTCTGTTTCAAAAGGGGGATAGTAGGAATAGCACGTACAGAAAGGTATTGATTGGACAATGTGGAAATGGGACACCCTATGTCTGTAAGACATGTTGCAGCCATTGAAAAAGCCATTCAAAAAACATCTCACATCACAATGAGTAATCAGACCATTGTACACACCACACATGGAGTAAAAGCATTTCTTGACTCCATTGCATTCACACTATCAGCACATAGGACTCAAGGCTTACAACAACTTCTTAATAAACCTCACATCCATTTTACTAGTGCAGGCATCAACACGGCCACACAGATATAAACGTAGCTCATTTAACTTATATCAGAATTCCCTGACTGATGCAATTGGAGTCCACAGAGGTGTACCTGATGAAAATAAATTGATTGATCAAGTCACTGCAGGGTTTGAGACATCCCTGTTTGGGTGGGTAACCATAAACAAAATGTGGACAGAATGTTTATAATATGACTAGAGATGAAATTGCAGGAATACATGAACAATTGGTTGGTACTTCCCTGAGGACTTATCAAAACAGAATGGCCTTGATTTCCTGCTCGCTGACAGAGGAGGTGTGTGTGCTATGTTTTCCCAAGATTGCTGCGTGTTCATCCCAAACAACACGGCCCCGGACGGTTCCATAACTCGGGCTCTTTTGGGTCTTGCAATCATGTCTGAAGAGTGAGCAGATCATTCAGGGATTGATAGTCCCCCCACTGATTGGATAAGCAGAACCTTTGAAAAGTGGCTTGATTTATTTCACTACTTGTAGCAATAACTGTGTTAATCTTATGCGGATGTTCCTGCATACCATGCATCAGGGACTTCTGTCTAAAGTGTATTACCACAACCACAAAATCATGTGAAAAAGGAGACATTTTATAATTAAGTATGTTTCGAGCTATTATGTATCCTGAATCTGTATTTTTGCAGTGAGCCTATGACTCTGTTTTGGATTTTTCACTGAGCACAGTCCTTGAAGATAACATGGCCGGTGAGAGCTGGTTCACATATTGGGAGACAGCGGAGACTCCTCTTTGATTTCAGATACGATTGTTACTTTAGCTACACGCCGTACCAACAACATCCACACGTGTTGCTGACCAAATTTCAAGGACGTGGACAGAGCGCGGAAGAGGTATGCCTGTCCACGTCATTGGTAACTGGCCAATTAAGCGCGGTAGCGTACAAGTCTTATCTATGTCCCAGCCCAAGAAGATATCTGTAACCTGAAACCGGAAAAACTCAGTTCAGCTGGACATGGGACTCCTCTCTGTCCCTCTGAATTCCAGCGCTACCTCACTTTACCTGTGACCTAAATAAATTCTACATTTGTAAACAGAAGATTTCTCTGTTTGTTCCTGGGCTTCCAATGAAAGAATCGGGTCTAACAACGCTTTAAAGGATCCTTACAGCTACATTATATTGTAGAACAGTTCTTAAACACAAATTCTATCTTTGACTGCTCTACAGCATGCGCTCCAACATTCGAGTTTAACCCCGTGAAAAAGCAGCTTCTTGGAGCGAGAGATGGACGTGTGGTGATTGAGTGTAAACCCAGAGCGGCTCCGAGACCTCGTTTCACCTGGACGAAGGGCAAAGAGCTCCTCTTCAACAATTCACGGTCAGTATGATTCGTTTAATCCTGAAATAAGAACAAATGACAACAGGAACCCATTTTACAGCAGCATGTCCTTTGATCACCCTATTTATATCCCCTTATTTAGAACAAAAGTGAACATAGACAAACACAGTGCCGCTCTGCCTCTTCATTCAGCTACCTTATTTCATTATGTCCATTTCTAGCATTTCCATCATGTTCGATGGGAGTCTGGAGATCCTCAATGCCACCATAAATGACGAGGGCCTTTACACTTGCACCGCTGAGAATGACAGAGGAAAAGCCAGCAGCTCTGGTACTCTAACCATCACAGGTCAGTGTGTTCACCCAGAAAACCCTTCAACATAGAAACAACATGCAGTACAGTTCTGGTTACAGACCCCTCAACCGTTCCTACACTTGTATTTTGAGTGTAATTCAATTGCCAAAAAAGGACAAATCACAACAAACAAAGACTGACTGAATGACTTTGACCCCCTTTTTCAAAAAAGTACAATGGTACTATCATTACTGTGATTTATTTTGGCCACGATAGTCGTGTTCTGATATACAAACAGTAAAAGAACCTTGCACTTGTGTGATGATTTCACGATTTTTATTTGTTCCTTTCACCCAGAGGCTACCAGCCTCACAGTTGCACCTGAAGACACTGAGGTTCTGGTTGGTGAAGAGGTGATTCTGAGTTGCGCTGCTTCATTTGACCCCATGCTGGACATCACATTCATCTGGACTATAGACTTCAGAGTCATTGACTTTGACGCCGAGTGGCAACACTATGAACGTGTTATGGTGGGTAGCCAGCCACATTTAACAGCCTTACCAAAGACAGTTGGAAATTTGTCATCGAATGAAGAATAATTCTATATAGATAAACTACATTTTCTCAATCTGTAAATGACTTTCTTTTTGCCTCCTGTTGGTTTAGAGCGAAGACGGCGTTGGTGACCTGAGAATAAAGAACGTCCAGATTTGGCACGAAGGCCACTACACCTGCACGGCGCAGACCGTGGTAGACAGTGACACTGCTTTCGCTGACCTTAAAGTTGTAGGTCAGTCCCAACATGCTTTACCTCAGATGACGATAGATTTCAAGTTTCATTTTTCACTTTAATTTGGTTGATATTCATATTTTTTTTAAAAGCTGTTGTTATTATTAGTTTATGTCATGAGCCCGCTCCTCTACCCAATCTCCAGGTGTCCCCGGGCCTCCAGGTGTGATCCGCATTGAAGAGATTGGTGACACATGGGTGAAGCTGCTGTGGTCTAAAGGATCAGAGCATAACAGCCCCATTCTCTACTACACCGTTCAGACCAGGCACTACTGGGCTCTGTATGAGGATGACTGGAGGAATGCCAGCACCTGTGAGTACTGGTCACTGCCACCAGGGGGCCACCTCACTCTAAAGTTAAGCCAGAGCAAGCTGTCTTTGTGAAAGAAGAACATGTTTTGTTATTTCTTTTCCTCGGTAGCTAGGAATAAGTTTTCATCATCATCAAATGTAATCAAATTTTTAGCGAGATTTGACTCGGTTGCCTTTCGTGTATTTCAGCTCCAACTTTTCTTGATGGCACTATGGAGAAGGCAGAGGTGACGGATTTATACCCTTGGATGGAATATCAGTTCAGGATCATTGCTACCAATGAGTATGGTTCTGGAGAGGCCAGTATCCCGTCCCTCAAGATCAAAACCTGGGATGCTGGTAAGGACACAGAACAGATTAATATTCTTCCTTGTGTTGTATGATAGACGCTACTAAAATCAGCTAATGGTAAACTGTTTTGCATCCTTTAGCTCCAGTGGTTTCTCCCACTGATGTGGCAGGTTTTGGAGGCAGAAATGGCGAGATCGTGATCACGTGGACAGTAGGTTTCACCATTTGTATCTTGCATTCCCAAGCTGCGTTTATTTCACCCAGCCCTCAGTTTACGCGAAGCTCTTTCCATTTGTTCAGCCGGTGCAGCCGTGGTATTTCTACGGCAAGAAGTTTGGCTACATCGTTGCATTCAAGCCTCACGACGCCTACGACTGGTGGTACGAAACCATCTCGGACCCCGAGACGAGACGATACGTCCACAGAGACTCCTACTTCATTCCCACCGAGGAGGACTTCCAGGTGCGAGAGTTTCAGGTGAAGATCAAGACTTTTAATTTGAAAGGAGACGGACCCTACAGCCTCACCAAGGTCATCTACTATCCACGAGATGGTGAGGACCTGGTTTTACTTTTCTATCAGTGTGTCAAAGAGAACAGCTCTGTCCAAATGTTTGGATATTACCTTACTGGCATCCCTAACAGTTTCTCTTCTTTGCCCAATGTCTTCTTCAGTACCGACAGAATCACCGACGGACGTCTATGCTCGGCCGGTGTCCTCCACCGAAGCTCTGGTGTGGTGGCTGCCGGTGGTCGACACTGGAACAGGCCTGCAACAGTACATTGAAGGATACCAGGTACAGAAGCGATGACAGAACAACTCAAAAACCCAACACGTACTATTACATGTTCTGTAGCTTTAAAGCTGAGGGAGGCAGTGTTTTTTGGTGTCATTGAACAAAAATTCCCTAATGACTTTACAGCATTGGGTAATTCTAGTGGTCTAAGAGGGAAAAAAGTTGACATCTAAAACAGAATAAATAGCAAAGAAAACAGCAGCAAGAGTAGAACATAGTGTTGTACTTAACGCTTCTGTGAGTACTCAAACTACAGAACTGAACAGACTCAATGTGGACTGAAAGACATGTATTTAATAGCAGAGATAGACTGCGCTCTTTTGCTTTTTCTATGTACACTAAGCTAATCACATATCAAACAGAAGTTTATGACAGTCCCTGGCCTTTCACAGTTAAAACTATAACTAACAAAACTCATCAAGAAAAAAGCTGAAACACAATAATGATACTAAATTGTCAGATTATGTCGGCAACATCTGATGTGCAAGGAATAAATGTATTACCACTGAAATATATATTCACCTTACAAGCCAATGGGAGGTACAGCACGATAAATAATCCTGTAAATGTGTGCAAATTGGCTGGAAATGCTTGTCAACAAAAGGTCAAATTTCACGCTATCAGGTGCCTAAAGAGTGACTGAAGGGACTGTGCCAGTAGACGGCGCTACACCAACAGGATGGTGGTAGAACACCCACTGATAAGCCTCACACCAACAATACACCTGCTTTCCATTTTCACTTTTCTTGTAAAAAAACAAAGCAAGAAGTCTTGATACCACACCATAACTATACACTGGCCTGGATGCCGGCGTTAGTTGATCTCATTATCCACTGATTCCCACACCACAAGGTCAACAAACTGACAAAATGCACAATTTCCAAACTCTTGTTTCTTGCTCACCAGGTCAAATACTGGAGAAAGTATGATGATCCAGAGCCGGGAGCCAATCGTATCTTCGTTCCAGGTACGGTCAACCAGACCAGGCTGGAGAACATGCTGCCAGACTCACACTACCTCATCGAGGTCCGTGCCTTCAACGGAGCAGGCCTCGGACCTCCGGGTGAACACTGTGAGATGTTCACAAAGAGAGCACGTAAGACGGACGATCACGATCAAACAAACACCGACCTGTACAATGAGATAAGCATACCTGTGGGCTTAATAAATGATTTCTTTACAGCACCACCAGATCCACCCAGGATGTGGCGCTACATCAGCTGGACAGGAAAGTGGTTGTATGTGTGGTGGGATCACATCCCGTACGACATTTTCGGCAATATTTCGTTCCCCCTGTACTACAAGGTACATGCAAGCTTTGAGAAGCCACAATTAGCCTGTTTCGAAGGTTTACCAACAGGATGATTAAAGATCATCCATGCTTCTTCTCCTAGGTCATGTTCAGGAAGACGGGCTACATCTATGGGAAGGTCTACATCACCGGTTGGCACTTCATGGACTTCCCCATGCCTCAGCTTGGAGACTATGAGCTGATGGTGCGCGGCCGTTATGAAGGAGGGGATGGCCCAGTCAGGAAGATCAGGATTCAGGGTGAGACTGAAGCAAATTATCGATTACTGTTAAGAGTTTTCTCCCTTTTATCCACTCGTCTCATGCTGTTTCTTTCCTCCTCAGGTAAAGCATCGATGACCACACCCACCCTCAGCCTCGTGTCATTGGTGCTGCTGGCGCTGTGCATTGTGGGATTGGGAGTTTAAATCCGCCACAAGTGACGTGTACATAATAGACTCTGGGAAGCAAATACATGGACCCATTAGAAGATCCAGTCTTCGTCATCAAACGGTCTTCACACTGATAGTCACAGGTTAAGATCCCCACATCATGCATCTTTCGTGCGTTTGTTCTGATGTAACACCACAATGGAAGTTGTTGTTTCTCGAATATGAAATAGAAACTTTTTATAGATCACTTACTGCAGCAGAAGAACAGCAGGACGCGTGCGGCAAAAAGTCATATTTGAGTAGATCCAAAATGTCGGTGACGAATCAGATGTTTAACTTAACCCAAAATACGTGAAGACAGATGATGATTGCTGGATGATATACTGCACTTATTTCTCTCCACGCACTCCTCAGATGGAAGTAAATACACTTCAAAGTCTTTTTTGAGTTACGTTTGTCAAACACTCCAACGCAATATGTCCTGTACTACTTCTGTCTTTTATTTCCCAACAATTTTCACTCTGAAGCTGGAATGAAAAAGTGTTATTTGTAGCAAACACTAGCTGTCGCTCTCAGATGGTCCAAACAATGAATACGTATGTAAAGACTGTATTAAGCGATGCAGTTTGTTTGAAACGAGCAAAGAAGTAATTTATGCTTATCAAGATAATGCCAAAATCCATCTCCTTTTCCTGTAAACAGGGTTATTTTCTACAATCATAGGGACACTGTCATACATTATTAAAGGTTATATACTTTTCCCAAAACATATTTGGTTAAAATTTCTTCAAGGGTGCTGCAACTTCTGAATAATTTACACTTACATCATAATCCTGAATATTTATAGTCTGTTCAGCAAGGAAAGTCACTTTGACAATTTTCCCTGAGACCAATGAGGATTTTTTTTTTTTTTGATAGCGAAAGGTTGCATTTGAATGAACTGTGAGGCCGGAGTTGGGTAGAAGCTAATGTATATCACATGTATCTGTATGCTAATTTATTTTATGTCAGGCTGCAAAACCATTAAACAGAATACAACAAAAAAACAACATGTTCTTGTGAAATTCTGTTCTGCCTTGTTGATTCCATGTTAGTCATATTTTCATTGGAAAAAAAATACAGCATTCAAGTCCATTTCTGGTGTCAGACAAATATCTATAGTATGTACTAATGATTATAATTTGATTTTTTTTATTTTTGGAAATTATTAATGACTGATGATCGTGCTTTTCTACACAAATTTGAAACAGTTATTGAAGAATTCAATGTGTTTTTCACACAAGATGTTGAATTAAATGTAAAACTGTGTGATTTCTGTTAGGGAAATAGCAAAATACAGAACATACAGGCGACACGAGCAAAATGTGCGACAAGAATCAATGCATAAACAGTTTTATCTGAAGCTGAGGTCAAAAAAACTCAATTTTTTGAAAAAATGCATCTTTACCAACAGATATTTTCCCCAATCACAGCTGTAGACCCCTAGATTTTTATTCAAAATTTGATATTTTTGCAGTGTTTAAAGGATTAGAACTAATCCTCTTGTCGAGTCCAACTCTCAAAGCTGCAACCTAAAATGCGACGTGTGATTTCAGTCAACAGATGGCAGTACATCCACACACCACTAACCAGGCTTTCTCTAATTTCATTAACATAATCATGATTTTAACCTATTGGCTTTATCTATACTAAAAAGTTACTCATGAGAATTGCTCCTTTCATTATTTAATTCTCTTTATTTGAGTTCAGCATCGCCTCATATTATGTACCATCAGGGGTTTTGTCACACCAGCTACTGTAGTATTGCTTCGCTCATCCTAAATCCATTGAAAAAAGAGCATTTCCAGGAAATCCTCTGATGCTGTTACAGGGGAAAAAAGGGACTTGTTTTGTATATCTCCATGCTTTTACTCATGCTTTAAAGTAGGCCTGCCTGTATGCAGTACAGTCGTCTCTGTGTGGGCGGCTTTTATCTCTCCTGTTTCCACCTCCATTACCAGTTATTCTCTCATTTTACCTCCTTCCCTTCAAACAAATTACATGGACTCAGAAAATCCCATGTGAGGCTGAAATCAATGCTGCCATCATTTACAAACAATCACAGCAGAAGCACAAAGGTGAGTCTTCCATGGCAGGGGGAGTGAGTCTTCCTCCAGAGAAGGATATTGAAAAAGCCTGTTGTTGTTGTTGTTGTTGTTGTGATACATTTTATTAGCATGCTCTGTGCGGCTCTTCTCTGGAAAATGAACAGAAACATATTGTGTTGGTTGGGCAGCAGCGGCTCTCGTACCTGTCATGCATTTGTTTGACATTAAATCCACACATTGTTATCGGTTCTAATGCTTTGTAGTCCGTCAGTAGGCATCTTGGTGCAGCTGTGTTGGGAAATCTAATGAATTTCTGCAGAAAGGGGGCTGTGTGCATGCAAAAGACGGGCTGCTGCTAATGCCCCTTCATCGCTGTGGGGATTTATTTGGTTTGGTTTGGTAGGTCTCGCCGATATTGTGCTAAGATATGTGCAGGAAGCGCTGCAATCGTCTGATCATAGCTGTAAATAGGAAAGGTGAAGCGGTCAACTCACCTGATGAAGGGCCCAGATGCAAACCAAACAGCAGCTCTGACTGCGCTGCCAACATGCAGGAACCCTCCTCTTTTAAGAAGGCTCACTTTTACCATATGGCTTTCTCTTAACTGATGGTTAACTATTCTGTCTTGTTCATATGTTTGGAATTTGTTTTCATTATTTGTCTAATTTGGACTGAACTGATTTGACATGTGCTATAAAAAACAAAGTTGCTATTTTAAATCAAATGCACTCATTCAGTAATCAGTGGTATGATTGTTAGGGGATTTGTCAACTGGTTTCATGACTGCTACTCATGATCCAGGTCATGTTAATGCTAAGGAGTATTCTGCTTAGATTGCTAATTCAGGGGTGTATGAGTTTTGAACAAATATTTATATGTATGTATGTATGTATGTAGACATCTACAATAAATCAGTGAATGAATAAATGAGTTTTATGCACAATATATACATTTACAATTTAGATTTATGAGCTATATTTCCATTAACTCCACTTCCAGGGAAATATTCTTTTACTTTTCACTTCTCTACAGACTTTAGATTTTGAAAAGAGCGTTTTCACATGTTTATTCTAATAGATTAAATTGAATAAAACAGTTAAAATAAGATTCACCTTGATGAGCTACAACAATGAAGCTCTGCTTAATTCATTAGTAATGTAATCCACCACTGGAATACATATGAACCAAGCTGAACAAATACATAAAGGCAAAAAGTAATGCTTTATTCAATAAAACACACAACATCACGACAACAGAATGGACTTAATGAAACAACACAGAATATTAGAAATGATGATGAGAGTGGAGTCACACAGCAGAAATCATTAGTCAATAACGAGTCACACATCTGTGACTAATCCAGGTGATGAGGTCGTTGGTGCTGCTTGTCCAACTCTTCCTGAAGGGCTCAGTGAAGTTGATGGACTTTTTTGGGGGGATCAGATTGCCGGACACGTGAATCCAAAGTGTCTGATTGTCCGTTGTTCCATGCTGTCTGAAATGATTTCTTAGACAATAAGCTGGAGCTTTTGGACATTTATGTGTCTGGCTACAGCTGTGGTCCTGCCATCTGATCATCGTCCACACCTGGATGTGGATTAACTCAGTGTTTGAGAAGAGCCTCAGAACTTTTTGTGCTCAATTTAACTCTTTTCTAAGCACAACAATAGAAATTAGATTTTTAATCTGCTCTCTAAATCAGAAAAGAAGACAATCTGCACGCTGCATTGATCATTTTGATGATAATTTAACACACACAATAAGTACTTTAACTTCTTATACCCTCAATTGTGCTGATAGTTTCTCTGCACAAAGCATCAAATCACTTCTTCCACCACCATAAATATAGAGTTTTCTATTTTTAACCCTCAGTGCAACATGTCACCTTCCTTGCATCATCTTCTTCTATTCTGTGTATTGTTCACACAGTACGACACCAAACCTCAGGTGTCTACAGGTCCCCGCAAACAAACTCCGACATTTTGATTTTCTGTTCTTGCTGAATAAATTCACACTCTTCCTGACAGACACCAGGTAAACTAATCCCACATGTCAGCCGCAGTAAATAAATTCCCATGATGCACTGGAATGAGGCTGATTATTTACATATTAGATATTCCCTTTGCTGCTTTCCATTTGATCAGACGAAGCTCTCTTGCTGTCAGGTTGAACCTGTGATGGTGGAGGCGCATAAATAGATTCAGGCGTAGAGCTGAGGCCCTTAGTGCTTTAAGCAGGTTCAGCTCCTGTGATTTCCTGCCTCTCACATGCGCTCATCGCATTCTTATAAAATCCTCTCAACCCTTTTAGCCCCATTTCCCTTCTCTGAGTTATTCCCATCCTTCTCTATATACCAGAGGCTGCATATTTTGCACAACAGCCAACTATAAATGTAAAGAGAGAACCCATTTTCTATAATTTAGTCGCTGCATCAAAGGTGTGGGGAAAGCTCAAAGTAAAGTCTGCACAGCCAACCGGGAGCCAAACCAGGACATATGTAAAGCAGGCCGCATTAGCCTCCGCATTGGCCCATAAATCACATGCATTTGGCAGCGCCCCCTGGCTTGCTAGCTAGTTAGCTCGGACTAGAGGAGCCGCTGCTGCGGGTCCCACAGAGCGAGGATCCTGCTGAGCAACATCAGATGGCTCTCGGGGTTCAGGAAGAGCCACACTAAATCTCCCAGACCAATTTGCCGCGGTGTTAGCAGCACAGCTAACCCGGTTAGCCGCCTGTAAAAACCACGGCTGCCGGCTCCTCCAGCTGTTTGATTGGCTGGAATGGGTCGTGTTGTCAGGTCAGGAAGTAATTGCCTCTTCTATGGATAGTTTACGACCCTGTTTACCCTGTGAAGAATAGCTCCTTCACATATCCCCTCTTTCCGGTGGTGGTGGTGGCGCTCTGTCAGGGTGATGGTTGATGTAGGTACTCTCTCACTATTAGTGAACAAAAAGAATGTGCACCTCGAGGCTGAGAGGGGAACAATTTTAGCCTTATTGTGCGGCTTTGAAGGGGAATTGATTGCTTTCTGTTCCTTGTATACTCTCAACAGAAGATACTTTTCTTGTCCACTGACTAAATTGGGGAACTCCATTGTGGAAATATTCCCTTAGATACCTAATATCCGACAGCGCTGTCTACATTCTGAAATAGCCACATGCAGGTTGCACTATTGTGTGACTTGGTTTTGTGGAGCTCATCAGTCTTCTGGCAGATTTGCGCTCAGGACCCCCTGGTCTGCTTTGGCACAAGCACCAAATCCTCTCTCTCTTCGTGTCTGTCTTGTGCTGGCAGACCTGACGCTTGCTGATGCTGATGCCAGGAAAAAAACACTTTCCAATCCTCTTTGAGTCCAATTAAAGATTAGCAGCAGTACATCCACAGAGCCAGGAACCTTTCTCGTTGTATATACCTTTTGTTTAGGGGGGGTGTTCATTCGGCGTGATTGCTGAAATTGGGGGGAAATGGGAAGTCCGTGCACAAAAACATCCCATTCGGAGCGTCATTGTCTGACATCTGTAGCAGCGCTTTTAAACAGAAAGGACAAGGGCGTGTTAAGCTGTTGGGTTCAATTTATTCCAAGATCTTGATCCGATGCTTCACTGAAGTACAAGATAAACAAGGGCAACGGCACAAAACTGAAAATCCTGTTTTCTGTAGAAGCGAGGACGTTTCCTCTCTTTTTAATCATATTAGGGTCACATTCGCCGGTCAGTTGGTTTAACACCTGTGTTGAAGACACCATTAAAACAGGTGCAGACGAGGGATCAACCATCAATCAACATGGATGAATTAGTTGTGATATCTGCATTTTTCCACGTTTTCTGTCTTGTTATTTGTTTGACTATCAGAAGTGCACTCGTTACAGTTCTGCACTACTTCCCCTCTTTTTGCACAGTCGACCTTGTTCTTGTTTTGTCAGTGGATTCAAATTGTGGAAGCCTCTGTTGCTGCCCTTGGA